CTTACAGATGTTCTGTTTGTGCTACTTTGTCAAATTTTCGTCCTGAATCACATCTAGTGCTGCCTTTCAAAAACATGACCATGACATGACATGGTTGATGCCAAGCAGTGGGATCTAATTCTAACCCTAAAGTTCACAGTTCAGTAACATTTCAGACGCCAAAATAAAACCATCAATGTTTTTAAACATAAATGGTATGCAAGCCAGGTATAAAATAAATGAAATGATGCTTACCCTAATCTTTGACATAAAACAACTGAAACAAAACATCCACAGGTAGGATGTATTGCTTTAACCCATTGATGTGCACATATACATTACCACAAGGTAGGACTGATGGACCTCTGACCTGAGGTCGGAGGTCATTCAGGAAACAATGAATGATCCCTGTCATTCATTGTTTCATTTGAAGGCAGCAGCAGCTCCAATTCTGTCTTCTTCTTCTGTTTGCTCCTGCTCATCTTCATTAGCTCTTGTGATTTCAACGAGCTGCAGTTCAAAGTAACTTAATCATCAGTTTTGGCAGTTGGACCTTAGACACCATTTATCCAGAATACATTGCTCTGTGAACGACATGGTGACAATATTTTATTAAAATTGATGAAAACTTAATCTACAGTATTGTTATTGTATTGTTTTTATTGTTTTAAATTCTAAAATAAACATTTCTCAATCAAAGTCAAATCAAAGTTACAAAGGGATCATGGATCCATTTAAATCATTTCTGCCCTCCTTCAATCTCAGAATCAAATGTCAGAGAACTTCAGGCTTTGCTCAAATATTAGCTTATTTATTAATATAAGTGAATATTAGCACATAATCCTTAATCTGGCAAGTTTATCAGACTTGATCAAATATTTGAAATGAGCTTTAATGTTATATTTATTTTGTTCATTCTGGTAATTTAACCGCAAAATCATGTGTTTTTTGCCTGTAGACTATAGCAGCTTTTCATCAAAGTCAGTCTTCATGTGCTGTCTGGACTATTTTTGCCCTTGCTAGCAGATGTTTTTTTCTCATTTGCAGATTATTTCTGCTTTGGGAGCCAGTCTACCAGCTGCGGTAGATGCCCTCTTGTCTTCTTTGGAGGTATCAAACTTCTCTCATGGTTTGATGTGGTTTTCAAGTCAGGTCAAATCAGTCTTTTTCTTTCTAAAATGTTACCTCAAAGAACTTTATGGCACACAGTTGGAAGTTCGGTTTCTATTTGTTTAATTCAAAACAGAACTTTATAAATATAATTAAACATGTGTTTATCTGAGGAAATCTTAACAATTGGTACAATTGTTAAAGGTTTTAGGCTAGTGGCCTTTATTTATCAGATTTGCTGGAAGAAGGACATAGAGAGAAGGGATTTCTTTCTGCTTAGGACCAATTTGAATGGATCAGAACATGTCAGTCACTCCTCAATAATTTGTTGCTGAAGTGCTGCAGCTTTCCTTGGAGCTGTTTTAGCCTTAAAGTTTGTTTGCCTTAAATTTCCTGCCTGCAAGTTTAAGTCAAGGAAATCAGGACGGGTTTGATTTCTATACAGTTAATATCACTGTTTTAAATGGTTTTGAAACCATTTAAAACACAATTAGATGTGACATGTTTCTCTAACATACAGAGATCTGGACTCAGAAGCTGTTCAATGTGCCTGTTTAACCGTTTCCCTGATCTGACCTCAGGGAGTTCAGGCCCTGATGAGCTGCGCAGTGCAGCCCCTGCTGCAGTCTGTCAGCGACTCTATTGAGGCCATAATCATCACACTTCACCAAGAAGACTTCTCAGGGTGAGACATTTACTTTCTTTTTGTTCCTCTGTGAAATAAGAAAGATGCAAGACGATGTTGGTCTCAGGCTGAGTGTTCTGGCTGGATCTTTGAAACATGCCAAGCAGAAATTACATAGTTTGAAGTTGTTTTGTTTTTCATGCTGTATTGAAGTTAAAGTATATCTGGCCTCCACTTTTATCTAGAGGCACAAACTTCTATTTGAACCCAGTGAAGCGGTTGAGTTGAAATGAGCCTCTTATTTAGGAAATAGTTTCCCTAATTTTGTAATAGGGTTTTTTTTATGTTCACTGTTTCATTAAATTTAGCAAGAACTGAAAAGTCGACCATTCTTTTTGAACTTTTGTCAGATATCAGAAGAGACGCATTGTGATCCTTTCTGAATGATGCTTCAAAGAGAGACGATTAGATCAGCTCTCATTTCAAAATCTCAGTTAACTCAAGAATATAAAAGTGGTTTAACTCAAAGCAGCTGGAGACTCTGCACAAATGTTGAGGTTCCAAGTTCTCCTTCTCCCAACTAAAAAATGATGCAGCTTTAGAAATATTCTTAAACATTCTTGTTTGTAAACATCTCCTCATCAATTGTGTGTGTGTGTGTGTGTGTGTGTGTGTGTGTGTGTGTGTGTGTGTGTGTGTGTGTGTGCGTGTGTGTGTGTGTGTGTGTTTGTTTTTCCAGGCCTCTGTCCAGCCCTGATAGGCCAGATGTTCCATGCTCCCTGTACATGAAGGAGCTGCAGGGTTTCATCTCCAGAGTAATGGCCGACTACTTCAAACATTTCCAATGTGTGGATTTTGTCTATGACAACACAGAGTCCATCGCCCAGAGAGCCATTGACTTGTTTCTTCGCCATGCGAGCCTGCTGCGCCCCCTGGGGGAAGGAGGCAAAATGAGGCTGGCTGCTGATTTTGCACAGGTAAGGATCTGCTAACTGTAGGGCTTGGACAGTTCAGAGTCCAGGTCACAGACCAAGCCCTTTGGACTGTGTTATCTGTTATTACAGATAAGTGCATGCTGCATTATTACTGTGTAATGTAATCTATGTGTCAGATGGAGATGGCTGTAGCCCCTCTGTGCAGAAGAGTGTCCGATTTGGGGAAGCCGTACAGGATGTTGCGCTCTTTCAGGTCTGTGCCCTCTGACTGCAAATTATCTGTGACCCAGTTTGGTTCTTGGTTATAAGAACCAAGAACCAAACTGTGTTATTTTAGTAATTAGTTGGTTCACATCCTGCTCTATTTGAACCAGAATGTAGTAAAGTTCCAGCCATGAAAGTTGTGACTGAGCTTTCATGGAAACATAGCCTGGATGTTTGCTGGATGTTTCAAGACATTACAAATAAAAATCCTCCCAGCCACCGCGGACCCTAACCCTAACCCATCACAAGTTTGAGTCTCCGCACTGTGGGAAGACCTTTGCAGAGAAACCAAAAATCCTTAAAAAGAAAATCCTCCCATATTTGCATTTTATGTCAGCTGACCATTTGTTGGTCCCCTTTTTATGAGCTGAAATGAAAAATATTTGTGTGATCACTTAAAAGCTGAAGAGATGCTGTTCTGTTCCTTCCAGCTATGATTTTATTTCTTCTTGTAGGAGAGAAAATCTAGAAGATGAAGAAATCTCTCTAGAGACCAGAGTCTTGTAGTAGTAGACGTAGATTAGGTGCAATCACCTTTCAGCTTTTCATGAAGGCTTTTCATTGGTGAAAGTTTTGTGTGTGTGTGTGTGTGTGTGTGCAATAAGAAACGTGTGTGATGTGTTTCAGACCTCTGCTGTTTCAGACCAGTGAACTGATCGCCAGCAGTCCTGCAGTAGGTGACCTGATCCCCTACAGCACTGTGCTTCACTTTCTCTTCACCAGAGCCCCAGCTGAGCTCAAATCACCTCATCAGGTCTACACACACACACACACACACACACACACACACACACACACACACACACACACACACACAGACACACACACACACACACACAGACACACACACACACACACACAGACACACACACACACACACACACACAGACACACACACACACACACACACAGACACACACACACACACACACACACACACACAGACACACACACAGACACACACACACAGACACACACACACACACACACACACAGACACACACACACACACACACACACACAGACACACACACACAGACACACACATACACACACACACACACACACACAGACACACACACACACACAGACACACACACACAGACACACACACACACACACAGACACACACACACAGACACACACATACACACACACACACACACACAGACACACACACACACACAGACACACACACACAGACACACACACACACACACAGACACACACACACACACACAGACACACACACACAGACACACACACACAGACACACAGACACACACACACACACACAGACACACACACACACACACACACACACACACACCTAGTTTAGGATCATACAGAACTTTGCTTGCCCTCCACAGAGAGCAGAGTGGTCTATTGCACGTTACTCCCAGTGGCTGGATGATCATCCCTCTGAGAGAGACAGACTCGCCCTCATCAGGTGGGCTCCTCTCTTCTCATCATTCACCTATTCAATCTCAGTAGGATTGTATTTGTGGGCAGTGATGACCTCTAGAGGTCATTATTTGACTTTAACTAGTAGTTAGGAGGCACTTCACAGTCTCACATTCAGAGTTCCTCCTCACTCCTTAAGTCCAAACTGGACTCGCTCTGGCAGCTTTCTGGTCAAATTTCCAACAAATCCACCTTGTGCATGTTGCCATGGTAACTCTCAACTGGATCTTACTAGAAACCCAGTCAGAAGCCCCCCGTCCCCCAATAACAGTTTCACTCTAATAAAGTCCTTTGCCAGGCTACTGGTGCAGTCAGACATTTAACTCTACTATGTGTGTGTGTGTCCTCTCCTCTCCACAGGGGGGCGCTGGAGGCCTACGTGCAGTTGGTGAGAGCTCGGCAGGGAAAAGAGTTTGCTTCCATCTATCCCATCATGCTGCAGCTGTTACAGAGAGCCACTAGTGCTGCTCAGGGGCCCAAAGCCTGAAGCAGTGGTGCTGCTGTCAGAACCAGAATTTCTTACTGTGACACGTCATGTAAATTTGCTGGATCCTGTGCAGGATCAGGCGCTGATGTTCCAGGAACATCACAATGGCTTAACTTTGAGAATAAAGGAACAAATGTTTCTTCAAGAGTTTTCTTTATTAGAAGCAGGTCTCACACAGAACGACAGATGAACTGATTTCAGATGGGCCACTTCCACTGGTTGGGTGGAGGCTCCTCCACCAGTGGCTCCCATGGTTTCCAGTCAGCCATCTTCCTGGACAGATTCAGCTCACACTCCGCCTGCAACACAGAACACCATCCGTCAGCAGAGCAACGATGTTTAAAACCCACTGAATGCTCCATCCAGCTTTCAATGTTCAAAACAAGCAGCGCTTGCTCTCATTATCTTCTCCTCTTATCCCACTTTTGTTCCTTGTGTACTAAAACCTTTTTAACTAAATCTGTATCTGCAGCAATACAGATGTATTACACTATTCTCACTATACAGCGGTACGATTCCATACATTTTTACTATGTTTTGAAAGGTTTTAGGGGACAAAGTGATTTTGGTGAGATTTTGTGACTGTTCCATAGACGTGAATTAAAATAATTGAACTGAGTTCCAGTATCCACTTTTTTCTGTTTCAACCACAAATGAGATCAAGAATGTTTGTTTTCACATGGTCATACTTCCTGTACGCAGCACCCTAACCTTTCCAGAGGAGAAGATTTGAAACTAAACTATAAAGCTTTTCAGATTTTTTTTCTTTTCAAGCTTTGAGTTTCAGTCCTGCTTCTTTTTTCTTTTCACTAATATTTGGTTTGAAGTTGCTCCTTTTTAGAGCTGGAACAGCAAGAGTCTTTTGCTGTCAGTTACTGTTTCCTACCTGAAAGACGACTTCTTCAATTTGTCCACCGTTTATTTTCTTCTCTAGCTTCACAATATCTGGCTCCTGTCAACATAAAGCAAATCCAAGCTTCATCTTTAAATTGAATAATCGCTGGGTGACATGGTGACCTGGGTCTGCTGACCGTTTTCACGTGGTGTAATCGCTCGTTAACCAGCTGCTCTGTGTACTTCCTGTATGCGGCGTCCTGTGGCATGGTCTGCAGTGATGCCAAGATCTTTGCATAAAGAATTCGAAGACGCTGAGAAAGGAAAATCTTTAGGAGAATAGCTTCAGCTGGGAAATTACAAACTGCACCCTGCTCACCTCATGAGGATTCTGGGAGACAGCGAGTCCAACGAGGCCGGTGGTCTGGATGGGAACAGGAGAGATGCTGTAAGTTCAGGAGATGCAGGAGAACTCCCACTATCTCCTGCAATCAGGTAAGTTTTCACTGAGCAGCGAGTGAAAGAACAAAGAAACGCATCTAAAATCAGACTCTTAAACAACTCTTGGGCAAGCTGAGCTCAGACTGTTTTTGTCTTAGTACAATAATGGAAAGAGAAAGTGTATAGTCCAGAAAGAACAGGGAAACATAAAAACATATTCATAAAGTTAAGTGAACTCAATTCAAACTGAAGTTTCTTTTGTTTGTTTTAATAATGTGGCCGTTGATAAAAAGCAAACGGGACAAATTTCAGTTCCCTGATTTAAAAGTTGTCTAACAGAAATGTAACCTATATGGTTAATAATTTATTGTTCGATTAAAGTTATCATTCATAGACGCTTGATCAAATTTATTCCACCTCTTGAACCCTTTGAGATAGATAGATAGATAGATAGATAGATAGATAGATAGATAGATAGATAGATAGATAGATAGATAGATAGATAGATAGATAGATAGATAGATAGATAGATAGATAGATAGATAGATAGATAGATAGATAGATAGATAGATAGATAGATAGATAGATAGATAGATAGATAGATAGATAGATAGATAGATAGATAGATAGATAGATAGATAGATAGATAGATAGATAGATAGATAGATAGATAGATAGATAGATAGATAGATAGATAGATAGATAGATAGATAGATAGATAGATAGATAGATAGATAGATACGCTTAGTTTATCTTAGCTTAGTCTTCTCGGGCTCACGGTTCATTCGCCCGGTACCCGCCGGCATGCAGGCTGGTTCCTGCAGGCTCCTGCCGGCCTGCCTTCATTCCCTGTTGCCTGATATTCTAATGGGTTTCACTCGCTGCCTTAATCCCGAACAAACTAAAAAGAACATGACCTCTAACATACCTTCTTCAGTAAGCCGGCCATCTTTCAGTAGGACTTCCGGCAACCAGTTATGACGTCGCGTCAGTCAGCAGCTCTTCTTCTCTGGTCTTTTTTAAACGTTTATCCAAAAATATAAAATGTACACAGTGAGTCTTACAAAAACCTTTGGCAATATTTGTTTTTTGAAATACAGTTTCAAACAAGAAATTGTTTTGTAATGATAATTATTTCAGTTTGGCCGAAATGTTTTTTTTTATTAATTTATTTTGTTTATGTATTTATTTTAATTTTAAATCAAAATCTGTAAACTTCACTTGGTTATGAAAAACAATAGTACATTCTTCAGAATGGAATTGTTTTTATTCAAAAATACTTAAAAATAATAAAAAGGGATAATGTAATAATAGACTAATGCTGGAGAAAGTGTATAATTAGCATGTCAGCCCAAACATTATTTTTCCTTTTTTAACATAATTTCCCACAACTTTGTACAAATCAATTTTGAAATTAGTACAATTTTGCCAGACACAAAATAACGTTGATACAGAATTTCTGTTTTTTGTCTTTTATAACAAACCAAAAACATCAAAATTACTGTTAATGTCTGTAAATATATTAAAAAGTTCTTTATGGTTGTTGTTACGACTGCCGTCGTAATTATGCAAATCTGAGTGTGCAGCACCTGCACACTCAGATTTGCATAATTACGACGGCAGTCGTAACAGTTGTGCAGAGGATCAGTTCTTTCACAAAATGTGCACGTTTTGTGAACATGATTGTGACGGCCCTGCTGTGCAGGTGTGTGTGTGTATGTGTGTGTTATGTGATAATTTACTAACTATCAATGAAGGTCCTCAATGTGGGAGGCTCTTCCATTACAGACACCTGGATGGTAGATGAGGAGCGCCGTTCCATTCATGGGTGACTAACAGAAGCAAGCACGCACAGACGACCCGGGGTTCCAGGCCAGGATGACTCCCAGGCCCCCCGGTGTGAAGAGACCAGACTGAAGGGGCACGGGTCAATCACCCCTTGGGCCATCTATTGCCGTCTCCTTGATATTTTGACTTTTTTTAACCCTCTCCAGCGGGTGTTGCAGATTTGCAACACCTGCTGCGACACCTGCTATGGTCCTCTCGTAGAGCTCAATCACTGTGCGTTGCTGTTGTGGGACGCCTCCCTTTCCCATCTGCCTTTCCAGTATTGTTCAGTTGCTCTTTTGTTATTACCCTGCCATTGAGAGTACACCTTAGCTGGTTGAGTGGAGAAGAGCCGGCTTGGAGCCTGTTTGGCAGTTTCGAGTGCTTCAGATCTATACCTGCCTGTACTTTCTGGGTGTTGGTCTTTTCATTGCACCCTCTGATAGTTGGCTCACTTCCCTCCTTGTTACCTTGATTTTAGCCTCTAACCGTCTTTTCCATGGTGGGTATTGGGTCTCATGGTTGCTCTTATAGCCAAGTATCTCAAGGATCACTGATGCTGAGTTGTAGATCAACTCATTGGTTTCTGTTATGGGATCATTCTCAATGCTGCATATATATATATATAAAATGTATATATATTTTCAATGTCTGTGTACAAAAAGTACAGCCATGTTAGAGACCAGAAAATGTTTGAGGCTTCAGCTGCCATTTTCTGTTTGTGCCTACAGAACAAATGTTCTCAAATTGCAGCTTGAAGAATTTTTGTTTTCCAATAATCAGTTTTGATTGGGTCACTGCTGGAGACCCAAGGTGTTCCCATGCCAGCTTGTTTTTAGTCTTCTCTTCGAACGCTGTCCCAGTTGGACAGGCCAAAGTACATCAAAAATAAAACAGGTGATGCTAGTTTTGATGCTGAGGAAAACATTTTGGGCTCCATGGCATTCTGTAGGACCTGACCTACATCAAGAACTGCTACCAGAAGAGGAGCTCAGCTTCATCCTCTCTCTCTCTCTCTCTCTCCCTCGTTCGCTCAGCAGCAGAGTTCTTAGAGAAAGCAAATGAACTGCATCTTTCTCCAGATGGAGTTCATTTGTTTTTAGTTTATACCTGAATTAGCACTGCTGTTCCCCGTTGTGAGCAGGAAGGCAATGAGAACTGGTTGTTATTAGAAGGTAAACAACATGAGCTCATTTTGAGACTTTTATTAAAAACGTTTGCAGATCATCAGCTACATGGGAGTACAAAAAGTTTATAAAAATATATTACAAATCTTGTATATTTACAACTGCCTCTCTCTACAGATGCAGTTAATTTGTTTTCACTCTAGCTGCAACCAACATGCTTTCTACAGACTGCACCTAATAATACTGATGACCAAAAAAAGCCAAGGAGACAAGTTACTAAATTCCTAAGATCCTCTTGGATGAAGAAGAGGAAACAGAACATGGAGCTGAGCAGAAACGTCTGCCCCTGGTATTTCAGTTGAATTCATCAGAAGAACATCCTGTGGAGAAAAACAGGCACCAAAAAATATTTTAAAAAATTATTTTCAATGTTTCTTTTGCAATGTCATTTTATGTTCACCCTTGCCTGTAAATGTTGGGGGCCAGGAGGACAGCTGTGTCTGTCGGCAGCTTGGACAGATGAACCACCTTGGTCTTCAGCTGCAGTCTGTCGCTCTCATTCACCCACACGTCAGGCAGTCTGATGCACACAGGAACACTTCAACGTCACTGACACACAACTGCTAAAATGACCAGTTATGAGAACAGTGGAATTTCTGGGAGGTTCTGGAAGTTAAGGCTCAGGACTTACATATCTTCAGGTGTCCAGTGCAGCAGCACCTTCACTTTCCCAGAATCCTCTTTCCTCCTGGCTATCACCTAGAAACAAAAGAGAGCAGGGGTGGGTCTGTTCTGTGTTCTGTGTGGTGGGTCCGTTCTGTGTTCTGTGTGGTGGGTTCGTTCTGTGTTCTGTGTGGTGGGTTCGTTCTGTGTTCTGTGTGGTGGGTTCGTTCTGTGTTCTGTGTGGTGGGTCCGTTCTGTGTTCTGTGTGGTGGGTTCGTTCTGTGTGGTGGGTTCGTTCTGTGTGGTGGGTTCGTTCTGTGTGGTGGGTTCGTTCTGTGTTCTGTGTGGTGGGTCCGTTCTGTGTGGTGGGTTCGTTCTGTGTTCTGTGTGGTGGGTTCGTTCTGTGTTCTGTGTGGTGGGTCCGTTCTGTGTTCTGTGTGGTGGGTCCGTTCTGTTCATGCTGTGAGACAGAGAGAGAACCAACCGTGCTGTGGAAGACCACACTGTGTCCGTTGCCCTGGCTCTCAATGTGTGTTGCCAGGTTGAGACATATGGCTCGATGCCGGATGGCCTCCATGGTTTGTGCATCAAAGAAGTCGTGGGGTCGAGCTGGAAATAGGTGAAGAATCTCACTGTGAGATTGACTGTTATCGGCTATTAGACTGAATTCATAATTGCGTGTGTATAAATCATACGCAGTGAACGTCTATATTTGTTCCTGAGTTTCCTTCTCTTGATCAGACCAGCCTTGGATGGAGATTCCTCCTTCACTTTTCCCTGACTGGATGTTTTGGAAGAACCTTGGGAACTGAAGTGGGTGGGAACGTGGCGTGCCAGCCCCCCCTGTGAGGCAAAAGTGGCATTGCAGCCGCCAACCACGCACTGCAACAGAATGGACAGTTAGTTGGAGGAGGAACATTAACCTGATGCTGAATCTACAGATGTGTAAGGTTACCTTGAAGGGCTTGTCTCCACTGTGGGTCAGCATGTGTCTCTGCAGCCAGCTCTGACTGGTGGACGGAGTGTTGTACACCTTGCAGTTCTTCCACAGGCACACAAACACCTGGGTAACAGAGAGCTGCAGCAGTCAGCATTGGTCGAGTCTGAAGCACACACCATGTTCAGCTGTGGTGCGGCTGTGCACCAACAATCACTTTATGCTGTGGTCAGCATTCCGGTGAATGCTGACCACAGCATTCACCGGAATGCTGTGGTCAGCTGTTCATGTTCTACCAGTGTAGAACATGACAGCTGTTCATGTTCTACACTGAGAGGGAAATATTTTTGACTATTTCCCTCTACATAAACAGCCAGCTGGCTGCACCAATGTGGAAACAATCAGGTTGAAAACTGGAATTGACTCCTGACTCAAATGTATGTCTAAAATATGACTGTCCTAAATCTACTTTCTAACACAGAAAGGTAGACAGACCAGATTCTCTCATCTTGTTTCCAAATCATAATTTGGGTATACTGACTGACTACATTTTCTAGCCGATTACAATTTTTAAAAACTTGATGTAGCAATTCCAATTTTGGCCGATACTAATTTTTTTCTGAAAGAATGTAGCAGAGTTGGTGGGTCTGTCAGTCAAACCAGTCTCACAAAAGAGGACCGTTGATATTTAGTAGCACAAGTATGAGCCAATCTCCCAAAAGGAAATGGGGGCCCATTTATTGGTGCACCCCTAATTATGATAATCAAAATTTGGCCTTTTTAAACAAAACTATTTACAAAAAAAACACTGCAAAGTGAAAACTGAGTGAAGAATGACTGCACCAACAATAAGTGACAATATAAATATTGTTTATTGTATTGAAACAGTACCTTCAAAACTAAACTTAATCTGGGACTGTATTGTGATTACAGTCAATCAAAATGTTGATTATATTTTATCGAAACAAAGAAGCCTAAAGACGTTAAAACACCTTCAGGACATGGATGTAGACAGAGCAAGCTTCTGGGTGACGTGACGGTGTTCAGGTGGGGTTGGTTGCTACCCTGATGGTGCGGCGGTTGGCTTAACTCCGCCAAGCTAAAATGCACAGCTAATGATACCCACACTGAATAGGCCTGGCAGGCCGCCAGGCTTTATTTGCTAAGGTTTTTCATACAGAACAATGACAGAAAAAAAAGTTAAGCTAGGTTTATAACTGGGCTGAAGGGTGTGTGCACTGGTCCATTTGCTTCACACATAAACAGGTAAGTTTGGAAAAATGATGATGCCACAGTTTTTTTAACTTTTCAAAACGAAAACATGGTGGGCTGTGGACTGCCCTAACGCTGACAGTGTGAGCTACCAGAACCAGCAGCATCCAAGTCCAACAGACACACACACACAGACTGACCCCTCCTCTCTGTCCATCCACATGCACAGATCGAATGTGTTCAGCCAGGTCAGGGCTGCTGGAGAACAGAAGCTGGCAGTCATCCCAGCAGCAGGTGTAGTTCAGAGATTTGCTCACAGCAGGTCCAGAGCCTGTTACTGCCACTGCCCCCCCACTGTGACCATTGAGCATGGCAGGAGTGGAACGACCGCTGGACGCAGTGCTCTCAATGTCCATCAGGGTGGAGCAGAAACTGGAACAGATACAGGAAACCATAACAAAAGCAACAAAGACGAGTCTGAACTAAAAATTTGAGTAGAGAGTAGAGAGGCACAGATTGCCAGAGTTAAGTTTCCAGATGTCCTCTGCTGGTTCTGGTCCACTGAGCTTTCTGAAGTCCACAGTCAATTCTATAAGGAAATTCTAGAACACTTCATGTATGTATGGAGATTATTTAATTTTCTAATGGGCCATGGTACCAACCTTAAGGTACCAAAAGCTGCTCCACTGACCATGTGCCAATCCTGTTCTTGATTAGCTCCAGGGCTAAAGCAGACCTGAGTATCAAACTCCATCCAGCATGCTGATGACGTGATGCAGCCGGAGCTTTGCTCACATGGATGCAGTCATTTATGTATTGAGTATGCAGACTTCTGAACATGCTTTTCAGAAGTCTGGAATTCCTGTTTAGAATGTCCTGTTTTGTTTTTACATAGTGTCATTTTCTGAGATACTGAATCAATATTCTGCAAAATCTTATCAAAATTTCAAGAAAAAAATAAGCATGAAATCAGTGACCAATTTTCTTTTGATTTTCTCAGTTGTACGTGAACATTTCAGATCATTTCTAGAAGACATTGATCCAACTATTGGCACGGAGAACGTTCTTCTCAGAGGCAGTGTCTCCGGATCTGCTGCCTACTTTCTACATCAATTCAAACTAGTAGAAAGAGCAGGTGTGTTACTGCGGATTTACAGGCGAAATCACATGGCAAATGTGATCACTACATGTGCTTCACATGGTACGGCCATACTACTACACGATCATTATCCTTAACAAATCATTTCTGATAAGCTCTAGGAAACACACACCGTCACCCTAAAAACTTTATTACACGCTCTAAGTGGTGAACTCGGACCTCTCTGGAACTCAAGTGTGCGGCCTTCTGCCTCCTCCGGCTTTTACCAACCTGTCCTCAGAGTCCATGCGGCTGAGCGGTTCTCCTTCCACTGAGTTCAACTCCACAGCGACCCACCGCCTGGCCGCGTGTTCGGCCTTTCCCGCGGCCTTTGTGCAGCCGCGAGGCTCCGAGCTGCGCCCGTTCTCCGCTTCTCTTTGTTCTGCTTTCAGGACTCGCGAGCCCTCTTGTGCGGAGTCCGTGCTGCTCGCTAGACTACCCTGCGCAGGGCTTTCTTCAGGTTGGCCGAGTTTAAAGCCACATTCCACATCGCTGTTGCCCGGCTTCCTGTGAGGCGACGTACCTTCCCCGTCCATGTCGGAAAAGGACTGCGGGTTGTGCCCGGGCCCCGCTGCCGTACAACTGCCGCAGTCCTCGGCTGGTTTGTCCTCATTGTTGACACCCGGTTCCCGTTTAGGGTCTTCCGCGGCTTGTGCCTTAAAGTTGGTCCAAGAGTCGCTTTGTTTGGATTCAGACTGAGAACCGTGTTCGGTCCCTTCAGCCCTCATCTGAGCCATTTAACACAGCACACGCGCTGTTTTTGTAACGTTTCGCGAGAAAACTTTACCCCGCGCTGCACTAAACCTTCTAATGTAAAGCAAAGCCGAGGATGGCGTGACGTCAGAAACATCGTGGCGAAAAAGCTGCTCTATTTTGGAAGATGTTTCACTCGGTTTAGAAAGGAGTTAACTATTAAACAGACAATCCACAACAAATTCAAAACGTCAAGAAAAAAACGTTTCAAAGCAAGTATTCTCACTACATCCAACTGACTGCTTCTAAAAGCAGAAGAATTCCTTATATTTCAGTTTGTTGCTTTCAGCAGTAGGTCTTAAGCCCAGTTAAGACCCACTACACGATTTTTTGGCCCGATTTTGCCCTTGCGACAATCTTATAACTTTCTGAGTTCTAAGATTGTCGCTTCCGACAATCTTAACCGATCATCCTGTAGTGTGTTAGGTTAGGTTAGGTTAGGGTTACTGATCGGGTTAGGGTTACTGATCGGGTTGGGGTTACTGATCGGGTTAGGGTTACTGATCGGGTTGGGGTTACTGATCGGGTTGGGGTTACTGATCGGGTTGGGGTTACTGATCGGGTCCAGTCGCTGGAACGTTGGGACAAATGCTACGGTGAATGAAATTTCCTTAATTAGATCTCATAAAACTATAAGTAAAACTTGATCCTCATTCGGAGCAGCATGCTATTGGCTCGCTGTTTTAAATGAAAGATAATTATAAAATTATAAAAACATCTGGTTGAGAAGCGGATTCCAATCTTTGGTTGAAATGGCGCATTTGATTTTATTCTGCAGTCATAATACAATTTTAAACAATAAGTTTCAATTAAAGGAGCTGGAATACCTTAAGCTTTCGCGGTCAGTTGGGAGGAAAAAAGGATAACTGCCATCTGATTTTCTAAAAACGAATATGCAGAAAATGCTTTCTTCTACTTTAAGCTGCTCTGATGTTTCAGTCATTCTGTTTTCTGAAACAAGGTACAGTGTATGCATATATTCTACAACAACATAAACACAGCGAGAAATGATACGTAAACGGTTAATTAAACAACAAAACCGAAAACATTAAAAACAGTATTTTTTATATATATATAAAAAAAGAAAAAACCTCACCTCCATGTTGCAATGCAACAAATATAACTGGGCTTAATAAGATAAGCAGGGATTAGTAATGGTGAGAAGACCAGCCCATTTACAACAAAAACGGCAATTTGGACTTTTCTAAAAAAAAAGAAATAAATGAAAAAGACCTTTACATTCAGTGTACATTACCAAGTACAGTAAACTTTTGAGCGAGTGAAGCATCTTCGCTCACATTAACGCTCTTTTCTCTCATTTCCACGTGTTTTAACAAACAGATGAACGAACCAAACTAGAGGAGTGAACGCCGTGATGTGATGAGCCCATTTATTGACTGTTGGTTGGCTGTCTCTTTCTGGGGGTGTTGCTGCTCTATGCTCCCACTCAGGCCCTGACAAATGCATCATCCCATAACGTTCTGAGTGGAAACAAAACTGAGCTGAAGAGAAACGGTCAAAAGTCCGCACACTACGGAGCCCTGGAGGGGACATGGGGAAGTTGTTTTCTTTTGCGTTCTCTCGTACTAATGAGAGAACACATTAACACACCGCATGCGGCATATTTGAATAGGCTACTGTAAGCCTTTCATCATCGTACTTTCTGGAGTTTTCGTGAGATTTTTCCACGTTTTTTAATATGAAATACCTGAAGTTTTGTATATTTTTATTTAGGATAGAAATGCACGGTTTCTTTTCTTCAGTATGAAAGAAAGAAACACAATACATTCAACTATTTGGACTATTTATGAGTTATTATCACGGATAAATAACTGAAAGTAATCTGACAGTTTTGATTTGTGTCTTTTTTGTGTTTATGTGCAGTTCAACCTTCCACAGACATGCAGTGAATAAATCCATTTTCAATCACTTTTTCCACCAAAAGTTAAGAATGAACACGTTTTATATGTGTATGTACTTGACATTTTAAATTGACATTTGTGAAACTAGACCAGCAAATGTTGCAGGAAACACATTGCCAGGGAAGGCAAAAGAAAAAACAAATCTCCATTTCCCCCACAGGGCTTCACAGCTGTGAAGCCCTGTTATGTGACTTTGTGACTATTAGCATCTTTTAATGTCTTATCTTCTCTAAAAAGTCAATCCAGAGCACTGCAGCTAAAATGAGCAAAATAGCACATCATCCCAGCTCTAAACAACATTTAAAAACTAAGAAAACTAAAATAGGAAAAATTAAAATATTTTATTTGGAAAGGTGATGTTTTACTGTGAAAGGTTCCCCCAGATGGGAAAAGGTTTGAGAGGGAAATAGCTTAAAAAGCTTAAAAAGACCTGAAATGTTAGGGTAGAATCTCAGTATCTGAGCTTCTGCCTAATGCATCATCAGCTATGATCCATGTATGTTAATGTTTTAAAGTGCTATGTAATATTTGACAGCCATTTTGAAGTTTTAAAAATAAAATACTGGCAACCTCACTAAAGCTCCTTGGAAACCTTCAAAACAAAAACAGTAGATTTGGGAGTAAAGAGTAAAAAAACAATGTTTTAGTACAAGTCTGTGTAACAGCAGTTCCAATTGTACAATTAAGACAGGGCTGGGTACCAGCTTTGTTTTTTATGTTTTAACTATTTTACCCTTAGTTGATAAAAAGTGAAAAGTGACAGAGATTTAAAACTTGGACATTATATGTTACAGTTAGTTTTTCCACATGTACATCATAATTATGCAGAGATATACCTTTCTCATATTATTTCAGTAATAATTGCTAATGCATTTAATGTGGTTCCCATGCACATTGTTAGAATAATCAAAGTGACATTAATGGGTAATAATAATAATATAATTATAGTATTTGAACTGAATAGGCTTTCAAACAATTAACTTAGTATCTTTACAACCTTAAACTGGTCTCCATGGACAAAAAGGGAGCGTGACAAATGCTCTCCGTCCAAACACTATGTGTAATAGCAATTGTCTGACAGCAAAACTTTTCTCCCTGAATTGCCTTCCCAAAAACAAGTGTGAAAAATAAAATAAAACAAAGAAGATATCTTGCCTTCTCCCATGGTAAGAGGTCCTATATTTAAATATAGGACCTGTATATCCTATATTGTATATCAACTGAATCTGCCAGGGAAATTATCATCCATTGAAGAAAATAGACTGGACAACTTTAGGAACATCAACATTTATTTCACATGATATAAAACAGATGGGGTTTGAACCTTTTGCATATTGGCCCTTATAATGACAATGTCTTTAATATTCACTCTTTTTCAGATTAAATTATGCTTCTTATTAGAATTAGTTTTACAGTTTATACACGTCTTAAATTTATTCGTCCTGAAGCGCCAAAGTCTGCCTTATTGCTTCATACGTGTGCTATTCTCCTATGTATCACCATTTAGGACAGAATCACAGACTCTTTACTCATGTTTGCTACCTAAGAAAACTAAGTGAGAGAAAAACAGAAGACAAAAGCTGCAAAAACAGACAAAAATCTGAAGCATTCTAATGCATGCTCAAGACTTCAACCAAGACTTAAATCACCCTATCCAAATAAATATTTTAAAAAGAGTTAGTCCTCTACAAAAGAAGAGAAAAACAGCAGCATGAAGTGGCACCATTTTGAAGGAAAATTGGCTGTGTTTGTATATATTTATACTTTTAAATACTTTTATCTGCATATATGTCAAAGGACAACTTGTATTTTTATGAAAACATGAACCCTTCAGCAAAATAAAATCAGTACACTTTAGTGGTCACTTGGGGTTGAAGTTAAACACTGCAATGTGTGTGGAGGCAGCTCATAAACATTGCCACGTGTGACAAGGTTTCTCACTCTACTTCTTATTCAGATTAATAGCTCTGTACTTTAGCAACAAAATTCTAATGATCCCAGGATCAAGCTCCACATTGTGTCAGCACGTTTGCACTTATTCAGCAGCTCTGATTGTACAGGGGCTGTACAATCAGAAGTGTTTGCCTGAGGCCTTGTTGAGAAACAATTACAGAAAATACAGACATACAGAACATGTTAGCATTTTTGTTTCTCGTTCTAAAATGTGAGTTTCTATTGGGGCACTGATAACCTGCTTCTTATTCCACAGTTTCCTCCACACAGAAGGCCTGCTTTCCTGGTTTTGCTCTGAGGTTTTAAATTTTACCCAATTGCAAACATTTGCCCATGATGTATAAAATGTGCCAGTTTGATCCTAAGAAGCTTATTGGAAATTGCCTGCTCTTGTGAACAACATCCTCCACTGTGAACAGAGCTGATATGAATAAACGGCTGTTAAAATTAATGGGCAAAGCTGCCGACATGGATTGGCAGTGGATCCTCCACTGCCATTGCTGAAACTACAGGAAGACTACAATTCTAAAACAGAACAGAAAGTGAAACACTTTATTTGACGGGTTGTGCATAGTCATGACACCGTCATAAACATGAAACCTGTCATGAATATTTATGACTGTTGTCATAAAGTGTAATTTGGTAAATTTAATACAAAGCTGACATTATTCAAAATGTCTTTATTATGACAACTTGACATTAACCAAGAAATCATGATTGTTTTATATATTGTTATATAAATTACTGATTAAACTTAAAAAAAATATGTAGCTTTATGTTATTTAACCTAAAGTTTAATCAGCTTTAAACCCTACCCCCATTGACTTTCTCCCAAAGTCAATGAGAGAAAGCCCAGACTGAGCTTTGAAGTGAGATTTGAATCGAGCAGAATAACATAGGAAGGTGAGGACTAGGCTAAGTCCAAAGCCAGGCTTGGACAGTGTAGACAGATGAGTCCATCTGGGACTCAACTTGTATTAGCTTTGGATTTTTGCCACACAAACCATTTCAGTTCTCTCACCTGGTGCTTCCTCTAGAATAAGCAGGTGTAGGTGATGCAAAGGTTTGAGGGAACCGTTTCTGTCAAGGAAAGCAGATTTGTGTTTGACCTGATTCTATGGCTTTCCAATGGCGTGAATTGAATATTTTTAACCAGATTGGATGATGACAAAATGTGAAACAGTATGTTGTCGTTCACTGTAAAGTGAGACATAGTCTCACCAGTAGGCCATTTGGTTTATGACACTTTGGAAGAGCCATGTAAAAGTACTCATAACCCTTTAACATTTGTCCACAAACTTCAGTCGGCATAACTGTGATGTAATTGGAAATTATTATTTTTAAAAAGAAAAACAAACAAAATACAGTAAAAAGCATGTTTTTAAAAAGTTAGAGGTGCAGAATAAGGGATCAGTCCCCTTACTCTGATCCCTCTAAGTAAAATCCAGAACAGAACAACAAGTTGATCAGAGTTAATGGGACAATGGATGGAGCTAAATCCAAAACAATCCTTATTTCTCTGTTGTTAATGAAGTGTACCAGTGAGCTGTCATCATTTCTTCAATTTCAACCAAGCAATTTAAACATGTCTGAAAATGATTCAAGAGTCAGAAATCAGACAGAAACAGTAAAAGTAAGAAAAGCTCAAAGATTTACCATAAGTGGCCCTGACATCCTGTCTAACATAAAAATGTTAGACAGGGATCTGTTCTTTACTTATCAGTAAAGAAGGATTCCGTTTTCAACAGAAACTCCAAATGATGGCATCATCTACAGTCAGTAGATGAGTTTGCGTTCTGACAACGTTTGTCAGATTAAAAGTAAACTTTGAAAACAACATCCTTGAGACAGGGATTAAACACTTTTGATTAAACCCAGATTGCAGTAATAACAGTAATGTGTGTGATATATTCTAAACTTAAACATTGTTTTCTTTAGATCTAAACCGAAACTTATCCATCCATCCATCCATCCATCCATCCATCCATCCATCCATCCATCCATCCATCCATCCATCCATCCATCCATCCATCCATCCATCCATCCATCCATCCATCCATCCATCCATCCATCCATCCATCCATCCATCCATCCATCCATCCATCCATCCATCCATCCATCCATCCATCCATCCATCATCTATTTTGTCCCCAGTGGGTGCGAGGCGGGGTTTACCCTGGACAGGTCATCAGGAACTTATAGTTAACAAAAATAAAGTCTAAAAAAAGAAGATGTGATTATTTAATTGGTATAGGTTTTACTTACTGAATTGAGTCACTGAATTAAGACTTTTTTTTTCTTTTGATCCACTCAGGGTTTGCCCATTGGTAAAAACATAATCTATAACCAGTTCATAATGTTTTTTATGCAAACATGTTTAGGGGATAAAAGGAGCATCTGAGTTTGAAAAATGTCTAAAAGGTATTAGCCAATGACAAGCTCTGTCTGTGCCAGGATTCAAAGACTTCCCACCAGCTGTGTACTGTGATGTTGCTGGTGGTGGGAAGTGGTTTGTACTTCCCCACGGCTCAGAGAGTCGATCTCTGAGCAGGCATGTAGCTGTAGTCTCTAAGTGATTCTGTCAGGAACGCAGAAAGCCGTGGAAACATGCTCTGTGCTGGTTGGCTACATTTGGGCTTTATGGGATGTTGTTTTGGACACTGAGGCTGACCATGCTCACGTGTCGCTGCTAACCAAGGTAAATGTCTGCACTGCAGGGAGGAGAAGAGAGGGAGGAAAGCATGTTAGTCATGTCTCGCACCATTTTACTTAGGAAAGTTAATAAAAAAGATTTTTTTTTAAAAAAAGAAGATTTTGTTCCAAGTAGTTTTAAATTTGTGCCTGTACTGTGATGAAAATAGTCAGTGGCTTATTGTGTGAACCAAAACAAATAAAATCATAATATTTTACTGTACTGTATGAATAACGCAGGAAGTAGAAGTAGAAGCAAAAAATACATAGGCTATTATGGAAAGTAATTAGTTACATGTACATTTATGATTGTAATCACAATTTATCTAATTTGTACCTTAAGTTGTCTACAAAACCCAAACTATGACTTGAATTTGTTTGAATTTGTTTTGAGTAAAGTTACATTTGATGAGTACCATTAATGAGTGAAAATATAACATGAGAAACAGCAGAAAAAACAGCAGTGATCTTTCAGCTGGGTTTGTGTTAAGATCTCATGGTGTTGCATCAACGGGAAGACAGAGGAGCAAAACCCACCAAATTTAGTTCAAGCTAACTTCTGAGAAAAAGAAAAACCCTTGCTGAATTTAATGCATCACTTTAATATAGTAATCATTATTATTCAAGCTTATTGTAAGCTTGAATAATATTTTAACAACTAATGGAAATATCAGTTTTATCAGATTAAAAATGTCAATTTTATCAGATTTTTAAGATAAAAAATAAAATAAAAACAGTCAGTCTTATCAAGTGAGACTGACTGTTTTTTTTTTTTTATCTTATCTGAAGCAATTTCTCTTTGGCTAAATGTGGGCAAAGAATCTTTTTTACCAGACAACATGTTGCTGTTATGCGTCTTGCTGTCTCCAGTCAGCTGTTTGCAGGAATCAAGACTCTTCCCAAGCTGCTCCTCCTGGCTTGGAGGTAAGCTCTGCTGTTCCTGTTCCTGTTCCTGTTCCTTAGGCTCAGGGCTTGATGGATGAAAACTGTATTGAGCAAAACACATCACATTCATAAAAGCTCAATATGTAGTATATTTCAAAAAGTCTCTAAATGCAATCCAGAGCCACCACCTCTGTGAAACAGTGGTTTTGATTACAGCTCATCTGTCTGCCATTCCACCATGATAACATTAGCTTCTTTTTAGGTTGTCTGTATAAAAAAAAAAAATCAACTTCAGTTTGTTTAGGAATGTTTGCCCAATCAGTGGTCATGGTCTCACTTTCCACAGAACTATGATTATCCTCTAAATCATAGTTCTGTGCTGTTTAAAATATATTACACTCTCCACACACAGACCTGTTTTCAGTGAAGGTGTTTGTAGGAGAGCTGGTCAGATCTTGACCTTTGCTCTCATCATCCTCAAAGGGTAGAAAGTTTACGATCTCCACATGCTTTGGATCTGTGTCGAGGTCCACAATGATCACCCTCTGGCGCTCACACAGCTGCAGCAAATAAATAATACTTTCAAAAGAAAGAAAGGGGCTGGCAGTAACATAAAATGTCAGAACAATGTTTGAACAATTTAGTAAAATTTCAATTTTTCAATTTTAAGTGCCTTTTTTAGCTGTGTGATTACATAACATCATAATCAAAATTTTTAGATTATTATCTTTATTCTGCCTTTTTAAAAATAAGCTTTCTTAACTTTTTGTTAAAATTGTCAGTTTGACACTGTTCTTAGCCAAAAACAACCAGCGTAGCACTAGACTTGTGTACATGCTGCTCACACCCTCCCTTGCTCTGCTGTAAATGTGCAGACTCGTGAGAATGGACAGATTGTGATGAGCAGGGAGGAGCTCAAGTGACAGCTCTGGCTCTGATTGGTTGTTTCTGACCGAACCTGTATTCTGTAGGACCACAAGTGTAAGATTTCATTTTACACTTTCACACTCGCATATTTTTAGCAAATACGTAAAAATAAATAGAGGTGCAGTAGGTAGCATTGCTGCCTTGCAGCAAGAAGGTCCTGGGTTTGAATCCTGGCATCAGGTCTTTCTGCATGGAGTTTCCATGTTCTCCCTCTGCATGCTGGATTCTCTCTGGATGAGAGAATCCAGCATGATCTCCAGCTTGTAAGCTGGAGATCATGTCCAAAAACATGACTGTCAGGTTGACTGATCTCTCTAAATTCTTCTTGATGTGAGTGTGTACATGGTCATTTGTCCTGTCTTCTCTGTCCTGGCGATGGACTGCCTGTGGTGACCCTGCCTCTCAGCCATTGACCGCTTGAGATATGCACCAGCTGCCCACGTGACCGCATTAGGGATAAGTGTGTTAGAAAATGAATGGACGGATGGATGTAAAAAGGAAACATTTTTAAATAAAAAGTACATAGTGCAATTTTAAATCAGTCTTCACACAAGAAATTTTTCAAAGCTGTGTGTGTGTGGGCGGGGGTTAAGGTTAGGGTTTCACGTAAGTTTGTTACACTGAGCTTGTGGAAGTTTGTTAACCTCACTCCTGCTTACATGTGACAAAATGGAGCTTGAAGATGTTAAACAAAATCTGAAAACAGGAGAAGGAACTCTGCTTTACTCAAAAGGCGGTCTACAAACAGAAGAAGCAAAATCTTATTTAAAATATGTCAGGTTCACTTCAGCCTTGGCCCTTTAATTAAAGTTGGGTTGGATTGGGCTCAGAGACAATGTCAAAGGACTCGGTCCCGGCCAGGTTGACTTTTTTAGGTCCATCTGAACTCCAGTGCAGATTTCTCCACCAGAAGCGGACCAAGAGGAAGTTGTGGTGATGTGCAGGTTAAAACTGCAGGTTTAAATGCAGTTGTTTAATTTTCTTGTTCATATGTAGTTATTGGGGCCACAGTAAGTAGTTTTTGTCTCTGCAGAAACAAAAATTAAAAGTGTTCATCTGTTTTATGTGTGATGAGATCATAATTTTCTGTACAACTTATGGAATATTGATTCAACTGCATAAAACATACAGGCCGTAACCTACATATGTCTGTATATGATAAACCCTAAGCTTTCCACCCTGTGTGGTCCGGTGGCACTGCACTGACTTCTTTGAGCATTTTTAAGAGGTTTTTTTTGTGTGTGTGATTTTGGGAACTGAAAGGCTGACAGAATACCCCATCGCTTGCCCATCGTCCGACTGTGTCATCGGTCATTCTCCACCTCAATGCTGCGCTAAGATTGCAGGAGGCTTGAGAAATTGACGGGCAAAAATAAAATATGACTAGTATAACTGCAAGAGTGAAAATTACTTCAAAATGACCTCTGGTATGACTCATGCTTATATCACATTGAGTCAACATCGCTATTGGTACTGCATGCATTGGTACTGCTTGGTACTGCTTGGTACTGCTTGGTACTGCTTGGTACTGCTTGGTACTGCGTGCATTGGTATCACATTGAAGAAAAAACAGTGGAGTGTAAGACAAACCTGTGGTGAGATCAATGGCTCATCTACACTGTTAGCCCCTGATGTTGCTTCAGTCTGTTCCTTATGAGCAACCTTTAGTTGCAGCAATGCTGTCTCAAGCTCCACAGAGTTCAGACAGGCCACTTCTGTCTGCGTCCGACGCTGAAGACACACATTGACACCCACACAAACACAGATACTACAGTATGAATGGCTACAAATATCCTGTGGTATATTCACTTGAATTAACTTTCAAAGATATCATAGTTGTTAGGTTTTGAGGAAAAGATAAACATGAATTCAAGTATTTAACAAAGGCATTTTGCTGCAGATTGACATGCAGCAAAATGCATGTATGCAGAATCACCTGCAAGTGGAGGAGGGAGGTGTCTTTGTTGAAAGAAGATGAGCGTGACAATGTTTCTCTTCTCTTCTCTCGGAGTGATGATGCCTCCTGGTTTCTCCTCATCCTCTCCAGCTGCTCCTCAACACTCATCCTTGTTCTGATGAAATCACGCTCACCAAATCCCATCTGGTCCACTGCACTCCTTGGACGATCCTGAGGAAGACCAGACTCAGTGTTGTGCTTTAATGCTCGGGTAACCTGCATGAAAAGCACTTACATGTAGACTAGAGTGAACTTTGAAAATAAGGAATAGTAGTTTCAATGAAATGGATCTTGAACACATGGAAGGAAATTTAAAATGTATGTGAAAATTCTGCATATTGAAAATTAAATGTAAATGTAAATTCTGAACTGTCAATATACTTTCTTTTTGTTGTTCGAAGCCATGGTTCTGTTTGCTTTGTACTATGCTTGCTTACCAAGATGTCATGGATCCCTTCTGGTTCAGACTTCTGGTACTTATGCATTAGTGAAGGTTTGGTGTCAGATTGAAGTGTGCTGAGGAAGAAGAAGCTCATGGAGGCTAATGGTTGCTCTCACTGCTTGCTCATGACAGACAGGCTGCAGCCGAGCCGCAGAACGTTGTCACCATTAAAGTCTCCAACAAAATCACTTTGGGTTAAATGAAGCAGCGGGGTATAGAAGAAGCAATGGTGCTTGTCAGGAAAGCAACTGTCTTCTACTAATTATGAGTTTTATGTATCACAACATTTCTTTTCAGTTAATGGGAATATTACAATATATTTAGGTCAACATGTACAATAAGTTGTTAATCATGGCTCCCTTTTAAGGGACTAATGTCACTCATGTGCGTTCATGAGGTAAGGTAATAGTCAATGACAGTGTCACAATAGTCCATTGCTGCTACATGTCTGTCCAGGAAGAAAAGATATTGCAAGTCAGTATGTGCATTCTGCTAAGTTTCCTTAGAAAGAAACTTTTTATCTAATTCGAATAATAAACTGATCTTGACTGTATTGTTTGCTAACTAAGATTGAATCGCAATGTCAAAGTAAGTGACTTGAAATCTGTCAGATTGCATTGAGTTTACATTTTTTGTAAAGTGCCTTGAGATGGGATTTTCTATAATATTATATAAATACATTTAATTGAACCTGTGAAAATTCTGCCTAATTTACTCTCTAATTCAGGGGTAGGCAACTCCAGGCCTCGAGAGCCGGGGTCCTGCAACTTTTAGATGTTTCCCTGGTCCAACACAACTGATTCAAATAGCTGAATCACCTCCTAAAGGCAGTCAAGTTCTCCAGAGTTCTGCTAATGACCCCATTATTTCACTCAGGTGTGTTGAAATAGAAGCACATCTAAACTTTGCAGGAGACCGGCTCTCGAGGCCTGGAGTTGCCCACCCCTGCTCTAATTGGTGAGTCACTCTTCTGACACACACTGTTGCAGGAGACCATGGGTCTGCCATATAAGTGAAATAGTATGGCTTTTTTTCACGATTGAAGGTTTGGTGTCTCTGTCGATGCAGAAGAAGTTCATGTTGACACTTACACATCTAGATTCAGGTTTTTTAGTTTTCCTCAGGGTGACGTAGGAGGCAATAGTGGAAGACTCAGGGGGGCTCATGGGAGATTTAGTCCTGGGAGCAACAATGCCCACAGGGTAGGGGGGCACTGTGAAGAAAAAAAAAACATGTCACTTACCCTTCAGCGAGCAATAAGTAGTGAATAGTTCAGTGTTGTGGTAAAACACTGAACTATGCTACAAAGACAACAAGATAAAGAGATGGAAAAGAAGAGACATGCAAAAGGGGAAGTATTATGTAAAATCTACTTATTTTTAGCTTTACACAATGTTATGAGTAAAGTTGATCAAAAATATATCTGGAGTGTTTTGATCCTTTCATGTGTGTTTGAGAAATCCTTTAGAGTGCTGTGGCAACCTAGCCCTGTGCAACTCCCAGCACTCTGGGCTTTCTCCTCTTGACTTTGTATATTTTTATTTTCTTTTAAAAATATAAAAGAAAATAAATCCATATACAATTGAAAAATACAATTTCAATTGTATTTTTACAATTGAAAGTGAAAGTTTCTTGATTGTGCTATAAATTACACCATCTGGATGGAAAACAAATAATATTGCTGCCCATTTAAGAAAATCACAAGAATAAGTACCATTACTTAGGTTTGATTGCTCATTTAGTGAATGTGCATTAAATGTTTATAAATCATGTACAGATTACCTAAAGAACATTGAATAAAAGACTACAGTCATACTACAGAATAAAAGATACGGTAACTATACTCCTCAGTTTAAATTGGCACATACTATATTCCTCATGTCTTTGTCATCTTTATTCATGCTATATTCAGTAAACCTGTAGTATGAAACTTTTATAGATTTTCCTTACATATTTGGCAAAACCATCGCTATACTGTAACAGAATGGAATGAGAGATAATCCCGGCACTGATTAGAAGCAACAAATCAAAACCAGGTCTTAGTGCTGTCCGTCATAGTACTTGCTTTATCAAGCTCACTGGACTTCAAAGCACTTCACACTACATTCACCCACTCACACATGTTCACACGCTGATAGTCACAGCTGCTCTGGGGCAGTCTGGACCATGCTGGCAATACCGGACTTTCTGAACACCACCATCAGGCAAAGCGGGAGAAGTGCCTTGCCCAAGCATACAATGACAGAGGATGGAGCAGGAACCCACTGATTGCAATTTACTGTGGTAAATTGTTTCTCCACCATTTACCAGCATGTACATGAGCCTGACTCACCTCCTGGCTCTGATTGGTTGTTTTTGGACAGTAGTGGTGCATTTCTTCAGAGAGCAATAGCAGCTCAGAGAAGAGTTGGAGAAGGTTGATGTTTTCACAGATTATAATTATAGATTTTTTGGCCTATAAAGTGAAAATTTTAACAAATATGTGTAGTGTTTGACCACAAAGAGACATTTCGGAATGCTAGGAAAACAGTCCGATCAAAGGTCACCAGACATTCAGTTTTTAAAAAAAGTTGTACTGAGTGACTTGTTTAGAAGTTTTTGTGTCGTTTTCTTCAGTAGTTCTAGATGCAGCGCCACCAGAGGCGCGGGAGGAACAGGTTTTCCAAATGGTTTGGATTATGTGACACGGTGCAGAGTGAAAGAGAACTGAAGAAGTTGAAAATGTAACAAATGTTGCAACTTTACTCCCACATGGAACTGAATCTACTGTACTATCAGATATGAAAAGGTTCTTTAATATTAGAAAGGGTAGACATTGAAGAGCAAACCATGCAGGGTGAAAGTCAAGTTTGGCTTTAACATGGCCACTCAGTGATCTGTATACATTAGTGTGAAAACACAAAGAAACTAAAACGTATTATTTTCATGTTTTTACTTTAAAATGCACTATACTGCTGTACTGTATTGGCTCACCTTCTACAGAACAGCTTCTACTCATCTGGGACGGCTGTCCACAAGCATTAGGAATGTGTTTATGGGTACACTGCGGGATTTTGGACTATTCTTCCAGAAGTGCATTTGAGAGGTCACATACTGATGTTGGGCAAGAAGGTCTGGCTCTCTGTCTCAGCTCTAATTCATCCCAAAGGTGTTGAGATCAGGATGCTGTGCAAGTTCATCCACACCAGATGTTTTGTCTTTATGGACTTTGCTTTGTGCTCTGGAGCACAACTCAAACTGGAAGAGGAAGGGTTCAGCTCCAAAGTTTTCCCACAAAGTTGGGAACAAGGAATTACCCAAAATGTCTCGGTATGCTAAAGCATTCAAAGTTCCTTTCACTGAAACTAAGGGGCCAAGCCCAGCTTCTGAGAACCATACATCATAATCCCAAACTTTATATTTCACACTATGTGCTTCAGCATCCGATGACCCTGCTCAATCAGTTCACGTGTTCTGAGTTGCTGTCGTTTTTGTTTTTCTTGCAAAAAATCTTTCTAAAAGGAGAAAAAGAGCACTTCATTCACCTCTGTACATGTGCAGGTCTATTCTGCGTTTTCTCTCCGTTCAGCCCTCCAGTCTGGTTTCACTCACAAACTGGGCCGTGCAGATTAAACATTTTTACAGAATGTCGAGGTTTACTAATGTTGGAGGCTTTAATATTAATTCAGAAATGTTACTCTGTATTCTTAAGAAGATTGCACAACACAATTTTTACTCTTAGTTCGTTGCACAGGGATTTTAAACGCTGCTGTTTGTGCAGGGATGACAGAACCAAGTCGTACAGCTGACAGTGTGACAGGTGGCATCCTATCATAGTTCCACGCTGGAATTCACTCAGCTCCTAAAAATGACCCGTTCTTTTAATTTTATACACCTGTGGCCATGGAAGTGCTTGGAACTCCTGACTCTGATCATTTGGATGGGTGAGCAAATACTTTTGGCAAAATATTAATTTTATAGAGAAATGGTGAAGGGACCACCTGCAGCCTGGGTACACTGTGATCTTGGCATAACAGCCCATTTCTCCAAAATGTACAATTTAAACCAGTTTATCTGATGCATCACATTTTCTCACAATATCAAAAGAACAAACCTCAGTGGTCCATCCTCTGTAGCTAGAACATTATCCTGCTATCGGTCAGTAAACACAAAGTCTGAATGTACCTTTGGATGGTGGGGTGTCTTTACTTTCAGTAGACATTTCAGTCTTGTCCTTATCATCACCGTTGGCCTCGTCTCCTTCTTCCTTCACAGTTGTGAGCTCAGGCTCGCTCTTATACAGCCGGTAGTCTGGAGCTTGCTATGAGAGCAAGGTGAAGTGATCCATGGTTAGAATACAGTCAGTAGAGCTTTTAGAAAATATTCATACCCCACTGAGGTTTTTAGCAGTTTCTCAATTTTCAGATTCAGAGTAAATGGTAAGCGGCCTGTACCATTCACAAAGTACATAGGACCCCAAAATACTTTACACTACTTCAGTCATTCACGCATACATTCCCATTCTGATGGTGGTAAGCTATGGTTGCTCCTATGAACTGGTCCCACCAGGCCCTGCGATCCACCGGCAGACAGGTGGGGATCTTACACAAACGATACAACAGCAGAGACGGAGAACTGGAAACCCACTGATTGTAAGACAAACACCTCCAACTGTCACCACAATCCTCCCTAGTGTACAATGGATTTCTGCTCCTGACCGAGTACACAAACACTATGTGCTGAGGTTCTAAGGGTAACTAGCTTACCTCCGCTTGGAGTCACTGTAGGTTCCCACATGTTAGCAGACAGTCTGGGAAGAAGGGATAAATTGTATTTTCTGAATCAAGAGGATACAGAAGTCCCTTTGCTGATGTCATGGTGTCCTGGCTTTAGTCATTTTTTTTTCTTTCTTTTTACATCGGGTAATCTCACACATAGAGTACTTACTCTACCAGTCACCAGAACCTTGTTATTCACCTGGAGGGTTTGTATGTCCATTACAAATCCATTTAAACAATGATCCAGATGATGGAGGGATCAGACCTCTGGAAGATGTTCAGAGAATCTGCTTTAGACCGAAGGCAATTAGAAGCACCAAATTTTGTTCAGAGGTATCAGTGTAAAGTGGAATATATTCAAGGTCACACTATACCACAAACTTTACTGAATGAAATTTAATTCAAAGAAACTGAAAATATTAAGAATCACTTGCACTTCACAATGAATCTCTGAGTTGTGTTTGATGAAATATGCCGAAGTTTAGGGGTATGAATATTTTTGCAAAAATATATACACACTCTCACATATAAAGGCTACAGAGCAAAAAGTCATTTTAAAGTTTTTGATACATTACTATTATTGTTATGTCTAAGTTTAAATAAGTGGTTGTAAAACAGCTCAGAAGGTTTACTGGAGGACGACACGATGTTTTAAAGTCCAAAGGTAAGATGAGGGACAGACACAACAGGAAAAATCTGATGACAATGATGAAACGCAGGATGAACCATGAATAGGTGAATATCATGATGTAGCTTGGTGTAGAAACGCAGGGCGGATGGAGGTGGGTAAGTTACTGGGAGGAACTTCTCATTCTGTAAATATTTGATGGCGATGCTGAAAATGATTAAGGTCAGATGAAGTGTGTTCTTAGATGATGGAGGATGAAGGGATGGTGGAGGTTGGAGTGGAGCCTTTAAACAGGTCTTACACTGTGCGCTCCATTCCTGGAGCTGGTCTTGCGCTCTTCAGGGCGGTGAGCGTGGAGGGGTCGGCTGCCGGGTTGTGGGTGGTGGGGGTGTGTGTGAGGGATGCACTCTGAGTCATAGCATTGAGGGAGGGGTGGGCGAGTGGGCGCCCTGCTCCCCTCTTTAAGTGGGCTGGGTGGCACTGCCTGTTGACAGTTAAACAGCACAGCTCAGAACCAAGACAGGACCACGCTCACACCGTCACACTGAGGACGAGCTCAATGGTTTAAATTATGTGGTAGACAGCATAAGTACAATGGCGTGCTCACATTATGCACAAGCTGGAACAAAAATGTTTGTTCACATGTCCAAACTGCTGTCTGTAGGCTACAGAAACATGCCTACCCAACATGCATCGGGACATGGTGACACACCAGACAGACAACTCTTCACTAAACTGGCTGTGCTGCAATTTGAATTTTAAACTGTTGGACTTCTCCCTGAGTCATCTTCTGTTGTGAAGTACAAAGCTGCATGTAAAAAAATTAGTACAATGAAGAAGTTTATGTGTTTAATGAATTCATCTCAAGAAGTGAAACTCAAATATTACTTTGATATATTGATCAGTTTCTCATGATTTTTGCCTCAGCAAAGGAGAACTCAAAAATTTGTTCAGAAACAAATCCTTGATTATCAATGATCAAAACATTTTCAAGATTCCTAATAATCAGAGAAATGATAAAGGATTTTCATTCAGAAATGTTATGTTGCATCCACATAATCATGGGAAAGAATGCAACTGGTTCAAGCAAACAGCTTTGAGGGTCACAGTCACAGAATCCAAACTACAATGATAATTACATTTTCCAACTTGTTCTGGTCAAACATACCAATACCTTTAATAACCATGGTAACACTAGCAAACTGGCCTGACCTAAACCCCACAGAGAACCTGAGACACTCGATGACCCAAAGTCTGCTATTATGGAAAATGACCTGTACTTGTATAGCGCTTTATCAAGTCAGAGGATTCCAAAGCACTTCAGTCATGAAGTCAGTCACCCATTCATATACCGACAGTGGTAAGTTACATTGTAGCAACAGCTACACAAACGATACAACAGCAGAGACGGCAGGCAGCCTTGGTATGGCAAGGCTGCCATGCACTTCATCCACCAGGCCTGAGTTCATCTCCAAGGACACAACAACAGAAATATGTGGTCCAGGCCTTTGAACCGGCAATCCACTGGTTTCAGGATGAACTCCTGCCTCCTGGACACCCTGAACACCGATATCCTCCATACCACACCTCACTGATCCAGTGGAGCCAAACCAAGTACTCCAAGTTCACTAAGTTACCTTGAACTGACTTAAAATGAATTTTACTGATATGTTAAAAAGAATTACATCTCGTCTTTTAATAATGAAAAAATGTTCAAAAGGCCAGTGTTTCCCAAGCCTGGTTCTCAAGGCATGTTTTAGATGTTTCCCTGCTTTGATACTCGATTCAGATGAATGCAGTTCAGCAAAACCTGGCAACTGAAATCAACTGGCCTGAAGAAAGGAAACACCTGAGACATGCAGACATTCCTTGAGGCCCAGGAATACTGTGATATACTGTGATCGTATAAACAGGCGTCACTCAGAGGTTTTTCAGATGAACTTCTTCATTTACTCATTATACTCAAATGTCAGAAGCAAAGAGATTCGGGGGATGAAAGCAGCAAAAACTCAGATAAATAATGGGTGCCAATGCTGCTGTGGCCTAAATGAGCACATAATATTTGGTCAAATACTTGGAGAGTAAAGGTTATGATTTAAAATATGTGGTAGATGTAATGTGTGGGCTTGCTTTACCTCATTTTTCTGCTGACTGGAAAGAGGCGTGGAACCAGGAAAACCTGCAAAATATAACAAAAGAGTAGAAATATCTGGAGGAACCACTAAGTCAGACCAAAATCTCCAAAACCAACTAAGCGAACATGGCTGCCTGAGACATGGCAGCATAAGAAGCAATCGCCGAGATGACTGCCTGTTTGAAATAACAGGAACAAACATTTTGGAGTAAAATCATCTTCAATCCCATTTATTGTAATAAATTAGAAGACTATTGAAAAGACCATTTATTTTAGAAACTTTATCACTAAGTGAATCAAATTATATAAATTAATTCCACACAGATTAATGTTATGTTGTTAATTAATCATTAATCATACCAACAAAAAGCTGTTTTCAAAGACAGAAACATGGGCTTGTCAGATCATGTTTCATACCTATTTAATGGTTGTTATTGTCATAAGGTATTTTAATCTGACAAATGAGGCTCATAGAAATGCATATAGTTTATTGGAAATGACTATATCACAGCAGAAAAAGATTTGGCTGCCAAGGTTGCAGAAAGGTTTTGATAAACTCACCACACTCTGTTCTCTGCTGAGGTTTAGTTTTAGACAGAGCCTCCATCACATCCTGGATCCTCCAAAGCTCCTTCTGGATCTGGATGTGCTGCTGACTTGGAGGTTCTGTCTAAGACATACACACACAAAAGAAACATATAGTAAGAAAAGAATGTGCAGTTTAAAAACAACCAGTTTCACTCCTCAAGCTGCTACAGAACCCTAAAACGCTCCAGGTCGGATTGTTTGCCCTCGCAGGATTGTGTCATTTAGCTCCTAAAGTGATCTTGAATGTTTTAAGAAAAGACATTAAGCTCATTAAGGTGCGAGTCACCAATAAAGAGTGTGTGTTTGTGAGTGGGTCTGGGTCTGTCTGCTACCTGTGGGCTGCCCAGGGCCTCCAGCTGCTCCAGCAGTTTGGTCCTGGCCAGAGTAACGTCTGCCTCCAGCTGCTCATACTCCTTCAACGATCGCTCCAACTCCTGGGAACAACAACGACACACAGAGTGTGTGCAGATGTGTGTGTGTCCATATGCTGTGCATATGAGTCTTAGTAATATTTAGTATTATGGAACAATGTATTGTTTATTCTAGGTTGCATGACTTTGTGTTTATGATGTAAAGCACTTTGAAATGCCTTGCTGCTGAAATGTGCTATACTAATAAAACTTGATTGATTGATTGATTGATAGACTGATTGATATGTGGCCACTAAGGTTTTCACATTAGTGACTCTGCCTTTATGCAATTAGATTCTTAGAAATTCCTTTACACATGTATTCAAAAACTTTATAACAATCTATCTATCTATCTATCTATCTATCTATCTATCTATCTATCTATCTATCTATCTATCTATCTATCTATCTATCTATCTATCTATCTATCTATCTATCTATCTATCTATCTATCTATCTATCTATCTATCTATCTATCTATCTATCTATCTATCTATCTATCTGTATGTATGTATATAAATAAATAGACGATAAGAATAAGCATAGGCTCCTTTCTTGATAAAAAATACCGTATATATCAAATAAGCACCAGTTCGGCTTACTGTATGCGTTCATTGATCATTGGGAAAATGTGAACAATATAGCCTACATATGTCTCTATATGTGCATACATGAATATTTGAATATAAATGTGTGCATATGTGCTTATGCATGTATGTATAGGCACAGCAAATATCTTTCATTTTTGTTGAATGCTAAGACTATGACTAAGATGGGCCTTGGCTTCAGGCTATTTGCTTTTTGGTAAATTATTGTTTTGTAAAGTAGCATTTTACTTTGTTTCTATGGTTATGCTGCCACAGACTTTGGCTACTGGAGGGCAAACTGACCTCTTTTTCTCACTTTCTTCTTCCACTCCTATTCAATGTTATTTCAACTTTTAACTTTTTGTTTTCATAATTTTTCTCTTCATGGAAGCTACATCAGGTTCATTGTTCTGATTGGCTGATTCTTTCCCAGAGGAAGGCATCAGCTGAAATAATGCTGCCATCAAAACTATTTTACCAAGATAAAGTAATCTGAGTCTGGACTTACGGCGGTGACTCTGGACAACTCCCTGCAGGTGCTGAGCAAGCCGCTCTGCAGAACATCTCTTTGCTGGACCAGGCTCTGCATGGCTGCTGTGTTGGAGCTGCTCTGCTCGCCCAGCTCCTGACTGGCTGACACCAGCACCGTCTCCAGAGTGTGCTGCCACAAAACAACAGAAACTCCTTACTGCATACCTGTGACTGCTCTCCATGCGGAAAGGTGAGCTTGCTCTGCTCAGGGCAGTACCTTTTCCCTGTGCAGCTGCTGCAGCTTTTCGTCCTGCATCCTCAGCACTTTGTCCTTCTCACACAGTCTGCTCAGCTTGGTCTGATGTGCGTAAACACCGAGATCAGCTGTGCAGTTCATGAGCTGCTCAGCATTTCACTGACAGCAAAGCTTTCTTACCTCTACATCAGCCTTGTCAATGGTCTGGTTTAAAGAGCTGTCTTTAAAATCTTCTGGAGCGATCTGAAAGAGGTGAAACATTCAGACTGGACCAGTGGGGGGCGCCAACAACCCATCAGCTAAGATCAAATGAAAACCAGTTTCTCCTCACTTTGAGACTGAGCAATGGTATTCCTTAGATTGGCTCTATGCCGTTAAGGAAAGAGCTCTGCACACTTATTCACAAATCATCAAGCTGGCAGTTGATCAAGATGTAAACTTACCACTGATTTACATTTTGTCCAAGCATATACTATGCTTTTCACATGAAAATAGGAATATCATATAGTTCAATTATGTACGTAGTAGAGGCTTTTATAAAAATGCTGTTGAAAACTATTTTGCAGGTCAGAGAGAGAGCTTGCAGAGTATTAAGGAAGAACTGCCAGTAAAACAATGCAAACATCTCAGAAATTCCTTTCAAGAGGGTTATTTCATACGAAATACACAACAGCTTCCTCTCTGTTAGTTAAATGTTGGAGAAAAGGAACAAAACAAAAAAGTTTTGAAAGGGGAGCATAGAGGTAGATAAAGTGCTGAAGCTCAACAGCACAAGATTAAGAATGCTATGAAAAGAAAAAAAAACTAAACAAAACAAAACACTAAACTATAAACATATGAGCTGAAATGTTTGTGAAGAAGAAGTGAATGTTTACTCATTGAGGCTAAATATCAGATGAACGAAACAAAATGAGGAGTCAGATGAGATTCTTATATTTTTGTCATGGAGGACAGGATGAAAGGATTCATAGACAGACCACTAATCACTGCTGGTGAAGATGCAGGAATGTTTAGTGTAGTGATTTTTCTACCAATCATGCAGAAACAACTGAAAAGCCCCACAGAACATTTCCACAGACAGTGGTGATGTGGGGCTGCATGTCACAGCACATCAACATGACCATGCTCTGTAGGAGGGTCCGGACAGGGGTCCATCCTGCAGGGCTGACTTCTTAACTACTGCATGAAACAGATAGAATCTCAATTATGATGACCGTTGCTGTCTGACATAGTGAAGTGAGAAGAACTTCTGGTTGGACTCACGAAAGTTCTGCTAACCTGAGCAAACCCAATTCACAAAAGCTGCCCCTCTGTACAGACCTCAATCAGCCTTTCACAAAGGGTAGAAAGTCTTTTTTTTTCATGAAGAAATTCATTTTCAACAGCCAGAGAATATCTGAAAAATACATCTTTACAAAAACTCATCTTGACATGTAGATATGCGTCATACACAACAATCTATGGCAGATGAGGACAGGTGGAGAAGGGTCTGTGTGACAGTGCATGTCCCATGCTTCAGTTTGTGTCATTTCCAATAAAGAAAAACATTTCAAATGTCAGGTGCTGAATCACAGACATCTTACAGACATCAGCTGTTATATCTAGGAAGGATCCAGTGACTGGTGTTGAATGGTTCACTGCCTAAATGTGGTGAAACTGGGGCTTGATGGTGGAGATGCGGATACACAACAACTGGGCAACCACAGCAAAGTTTTGGCTGGAGTCTGCTGTACTTCAAGTCATGTTGAAACATTGAAGCTTTGCTGAAAATAAAGTAAAGCTGCAGGGTAAACTCAAGTTTATTCCTGTGTACTCAAATAAAAAGTCTTCAAATGATTTATTGTTTCTTTTGAGAAATAACTCCTAAATTTCCAGGTTACTTTTTGGGAACTTTCCATTTGAACCAACTTCATTCAGCTCTTACGTTGATGCTCTAATATTTAACCATGAAGCCTGGGTGAGTTAGCAGTTGTGTATGGGGAAATGTTTCTGCCATAATTCAAGAGCACACATTTTCAATCTGAAAACAAGATTTCCTATCTTTAGTTCTCAAAACTTTTAATAATTTTCTTTGCATTTATATGTTGAAAGCAGGACTTCAGATATTTCTTCTCAAACTTGTAATGATTGTACTCAAAACTTCTCCTCACACTCACAATCTCTGCTCAGAGCAAATCTTCACTTGCAAAACTCTCTGCTGGTTTGGTGGAATTTTCCTGCCATAATTCAAGAGCACACGTTTTCAGTATGAAAACAGGATTTCATGCCTTTTGTTCTCAAAATTTGTAATATTTTTCTTACACTTTCATTTTAGAAGCAGGACTTGATGTAATTCTTCTCAAAACATGTAATGCTTGTACTCAAAACTTCTCCTCATGCTCACATTTAGTCTCTGCTTGGACTATCTGCAGGGCCCATCAGAGACCTTTGGAGGGACAGGGGCTCAAATTTCAAAAAGGGGCACATTGAACAAGATCTTAAAACACGGTACAACAACATAGCAAACACCCATATTAATCAAGAATTAATCATTGCCATCATGCGGGGACAATGCAAAGCAAATGTACATTTTCCCCAACAGGTGTAAAGTTTCTGTTTCTGCTGCTGACAGCTGGAGGGCTGAGTTGATCTGAGATCTGATTAAACAGACCAGAGGAGAGAAGGTCAAAGGTTATGAAGCAAGCAAAATTGCTGTCATTTTACTAATTAAGCCCTGATAATATCTATTTATCCTCTAGAACAATTTGACTGCAGAATGATTTATAGATCAAATAAAGCTCAAAGGGGTTAACTCTAGCAGTTTTTGATGATGGAAGCTCTGAGATCTAGAATTGGAAAACTGGGATATCAAGGCAAAGAAAACTCAGTAGCTGCTGTTAGGGGCCTCTAACAATTCAGGGCCTCCAGACATTCAGGAGGCCCTAGAAATGGTTTAATTGCAACACAGACCATATATGTAAACCTGTAGCATTCATTCATAGAGAATAACAATGTTATAAAATGTTATTTAATGCATTCAGCTGAGAGGAAAAAATTACATTTAGGATTTAATTAAAAAGTTTACTTTGTAAAAGTTTAAAGAATCATCTTGATAATTGGATTGTTGCGTTTCCATGGCTACAATATGGCGTAATCTCTATGTTTGAGTTGGGTTTGTTCACAAATACATCTCCGCAAATAACCAATAATCAGTGATTGATTTTAAACTCGGTCAATAAACCTGGTCTCCCTCTCACAGATTCACCTTATTGATATTTAAACATGTTAGTGATGCTGAGGTTCTTAGTGGGAAGGGTTTCTAAGGCCCCATAGTACCTTGGGCCGGCCCTGCATGAACAACCACTGTGATGCGCATCTCTGGAATCTACCTGGAATCTTCCAATGCCAGTCCACTGATGCTTGGCTTTTGATTTATTTAATTGTGGCATGTTTGGCTTTGTGGTTCTCATCATTGCTCCAGTATTTTCTCAGATGTTTATTGTGTGAACTCTAAATGCTTTGACCCGAATCTTCCTTTAACCCTTGAGGTTCTGCAGTAACTTCTATTTACAGCCGTTCACCTCCAGCCCAGATCCCATCAGCAGCTTTAACCCGTCTGGTATGAACGTGTCAGAACAAGATGCAGGAAGAGAAACTGAGTGATTATTCGACTGAGGGCAGCCAGACTAGTTTATTTTGATAAATTATTATATTTAGCTAAATATTATTGCTGAGCTGTTAGTGATTAGCAGCACACTGCTGGTGGCCGTTTAGAAAGCTGACATTGTTGTTTCCCCCTACATCCAGTGGGTGATGCAGGTTGCTATAATTGATAGTAGAAACACAGGCACACCCACTAGAAGGAAACAAATGCACCCAGTACAACACTTTGATTTGATTGGCTCAGAGGTTGCCAGGCGACTATGTCCAAAGGCAGTTCTGTTTCGTAAGCGAGCAGAGAGTCCGCTTAAGGACTGCTTAAGTGTGAGTCTGAGGAGCAGTTTTACAAGCCTTACAAGTTTTGAGAAGAAATACATGAAGTCCTGCTTTCAAAATGAAAATGCAAGCAAAAGTATTAAAAGTTTTGAGAACAAAAGACATGAAGTCCTTTTTTCAGACTGAAAATGTGTGCTCTTGGATTATGGCAGGAACATTTCACCAAACGAACAGAAAGTTTCGCAAACAAAGATTTGCTCTGAGCAGAGATTGTGAGCGCAGAGACGTTTTGAGTACAATCATTAGAAGTTATGAGAAGAAATACATAAAGTCCTTATTTCAAAATGAAAATGTAAGCAAAAATATTGAAAATTTTGAGAACAAAAGATATGAAATGCTGCTTTCAGACTGAAAACATATGCTCTTGGATTATAGTCGAAACATTTCCCACATAGTTGTGAAGCTAAATCTCCATGACAAGGTTGTGACCCAGCCAAAACTCTCAGCAGATGGGTGGATGGGCTCTGTGTCGATTCGAGTTAGCACCTTCCAAAAACCTTACTTTCTGGTAGAGTTGCGGCCTTGGTGCCGAGTTCTCAATCATAGTGTGAATCATGAAGATAAGAGGCTCATTCTCCTTCGTCTAGCATTAGCGCCGGGAAGAAGAGGATACAGTGGTGTAATAAGACAGCTGGTAAGAGAGACTAAAATATCAAATGCTGTTTAGCTGATAATAAATAAAAGAAGAAAAGGAGCTGCTCAAAAACTATGGTTTTATATTTTACCTGCAGTCTGAAACCTATGAACTCATGGACAGTGCAGTGTAGAAATGAAGTGCTTAACAATCAGTGTAGAAATGAAGTGCTTAACAATCAGACTTATGCTATAACCCACATGCACAAAAGACATCAAAGCAAGTAAATGTATAAATCAAAATATATAATAAAGTGACATGACTCAGTCCTGAACAGATGAAGAATATTAACTGTTAAAAGTCACAGAAAGCCATAGAAACCTGCTGAAACATTTGGGGAGAAACATTTCAGCTGGAAACAGACCTGCCCTCATCAATGCAATTTAACAACAGCCGGTTAGAAAATAAAGTACAATTACAAAGAATTTACAGAAGAAGTCTATCATAATGGGTACAAGTAAAAACCTCTCTCAAGATATTGTTGTAGGAAAATATATATGTAACTTGAAACGTCTTAGATTTTGCAGTTAGCCCCTTTTGGGCCAAAATACTATAAACCAGTCAAAAATTAGATGCTTTTTTGCTAGAATTCTTAGAGAAGACAAAATAATACTTGAATAAGTTTTCCAAGAGCCGAGGATCTCTTACAAAGTTTCTGAATAATTTAGAAATTGCAGGTACAGTCTGTCAATGAAAACTATGAGTCATGCATCTATCTACCATAGATCATATAAACATATTTCTCCGCTGTTGAAGAGAAAAAATATGGAAGCTTATTTCAAAGTTGCTATAGAAAACTTTGAAAAGCCAGTGAAATACTGGAATAATGCTCCAGCCAGACCAGAGCAAATTTAAACTGTTTTCATGGAAGGATAGAAAACAGCACATCTGCAAACAATAAAGTTTGTAGGAAAGATTATCATGGTGTGTCTTTCTTTCAGCATAGAGAATTCTTCATACAACTCAAGGAACAATGAATGAAGAAATGTAACTGAACATTCTTGCAAATAATCTGCAGATGAAATGAAGTTGGATTTTTCAATATGATTCAAACACACACCCCAAGAAACTCTTAGCTAGTTTGAAAGAAATCAAAGAAAATGGTCTAGCCAATCACCTAACTAGAAAGAAAATCTATGGAGGGAGCTGAAGACCTTACTTTGTGTGGAAGAATGGTACAAAATGCAATTTCAATGTCAATTTCTGCTAATAGCAATTGTGGCCAACATCTATTTAATGGATATAATAAATAGACATGTTTGCTTTGATTTCTCTGTGTAGATTACTTTGTTAGTTTACAGATATCTAATGAAACTGAGCTGAGGTTAGCATGCCCATCCTGGCTAACCCAGTTAGCAGCTATGCACTGGTTATTTCAAAACCAGTAATAATATCTTGAGCAATTTGACCTGGATTATCTTTTCTGTTGCATCAGACAACTTGAGCACCCATGACTCCTGTTGCTGGATTGCCATTGTTGCATCTCTGGACAGCTTTTCATAGATCACCAACACCCCACATGCCTTGCTATTAAGGGACGTTCTGACCCGGTTTTCTAAACATCACATTTTGGTTGTCATTAATATTGCTCAACTACACTATATATTAATGCTGCTTCTGTTACAGCACCTATGTGGGCAAAATGTCAACCTGTTGCCTCATTTATCATGAGTCACTTTGCAGAGGTCACAGTGACTATGACTTCATCATCATCACTGTCAGGGCCTATGATGAAGAGAATTTACTATCAGTGTGTTTCTATTATATTTTATATGTCACTCAGAAATACCTGCTTTTGCTCCTTTTTAGCAACAGGAAAGAGGTGAAATGTTGTCAGAAATGAGATCAGAGCAACTTCTGGTTCACCTATAACCTACTGTAGTCAGTGTAGCTGTGAACAGTAATAAGTGGTAGAAACGTTTCAAAAACAAAAGTTCAATTTCCAATTCAGAGAGCACAGATACGCTGCCTGTGCCAGAACCAGAGTTCTCACCTGCTTGTCCAGGTAAGTAAGGTTCCTCTGAAGATGGTGAGAGAGAACATCAGTCTATAGACGATAAAAAAGAAGAAGCAGGAAAATGAAAGCCATGTTTTTCATGAAATCACAGTCACATGGTCAAAGGAGGGGAAAAGCTGGATAAATTAAAATGGAATAAACAGCTGTGTGAAGATCTGGGATAAGAAGAGAAGAAAATTTACTACAGTGCATTTGAATAAGTTCAAACTTATTAAACAACCCTCTAATTTACAGGTCAAGAAAAAATTCTTTATTCAGTTCTTTTCCTAATTAATAATAATGATAATAATAATAATAATAAATGACATGCTGTATGTACCAAAAACAAGCACCATGAAGTCATCTGAAAATCAGTTCTTTGGAAAACAAAATATCTTCTTTGCACTTTTATGATCAAGATGAAATCAGCAACAACACTAAGTGGTGCTGCTCTGTGGTGCCAGCACAGTTAAAATGCTGTGCTGCCATTTCATCTGAATGGAAGAGATCAAGCGACTATTTTATTTTTGGGGTTTTTTGGGTTTTTTTAAATTGACAGTATGATGTAAAATAGGCTTTTTTGATGATTACATCATATTGTAAAGTTATTCTCTCATCCAAAATATGCCTTAATTCTTTATGGTTCTGGTCTGCTCTGCGTCCCTGGAATCTGAACCAAACATGGAGAAGCAGCTTTCAACTTCTATGGACCACAAATCTGAAACAAACTTCCAGAAAACTGCAAACCTGCTGAAATAGTTCCTTTAAAACAAGGCTGAAAACAACCCGTGTAGAGTTGCTTTTGAACCATAATAAATGCAACATTGACCAGCTCATTTGATGTGTATCAATGATTTTAGTGATGGCACTCATCAAAACATAATGTTCAGCTTTTTTGCTGAAATGTGCTACACAAAGAAACTTGATTGATTTATTGGTTGGTTTCATGCAGGTTTGAGAAATCCTTTAATCTCCTATGGGAACCATTCAGCTGTGCAAAACACCTCAGTGAACCTAGTGCTGCCTTCAAGGTGCAGTTCCTTCTCACAGCTGGAGTTTCCACTCCTCCACTCAGCTCCCTCAGACTAGCCAACAGCAATTAGCAAACACCTGGTGTAGATGGGCTGATTGACAGCACTACAACCCTGTTCCTAGCTATGATTGGTAGCACTGGGAGAAGGCAGAAAAGCTTGATTTTTTTTCACAGATTATATTATACTGTTGTAACATAGTGACAGTTTCAACAATTATGTAAAAAACAAAATATATTTTATAAAAGCTAAATACTACAGCTTTAAGAATATTTGATTTTTATAACAACTGAAGTTCAAATAGTTCCTTGATTGTGCTGTAAAATGGCGCTATGCTGCTGGGAACACATAATAAAGTTAGTAAAGTTTACTAACTTTCACATATTGCGCTTCTGCAGAACATTTTCTTAGTCCAATCTTAAGGACTCACTCTGGGATATGCTGCTGGCATTGCCTGTCTATTCACCTATAGCAGCTGACCTCTTTTATTCTGCAAAAGGTTCAAACCCACCGTGCCAGAGCTTTCATTTGGCCCGACATTTGGATCTTCTCTCCTTCTTCTGCTTCACAAGGCCACAAGACTTGATTCTTAATTCTTAACTTTTCAGGCTGAGGAAAACATAACCCATTTCACAAACACTCAGGAACCACTAGATTCTGAAAGTGTGGATTCTAAGATTTGCAATGATGTTAAACATATAAAAATCAAAAAAGAAGTCGTTCTTTACTACCAAGTGATGTGTATATTAATGTCAACATGGACTTGTCAAAATGCAAAATTTTTGCTGGGGGGTTAATTGTGACAAAATTTGTGATTAACAATCATGTTATTGTTTTGAAACCATTGTTAAGTAATAGCATGAAAACGTCAGAATAATGTAAAGAACAATAAAAATATTTCTAAGGAACCTTTAGCACTGGACCTGGAAGATGTATCAAATATATAAAATACAAAATGTTGAATTCCATTTTGTTCAGGGACTATCCAAACTGTGTCTCCACATTCCTTGTGCTGCAGACATCACTGCCAAACCTGCACTTAAAACTCATTGCTGTTCAGATGAGAACTGATCCCCACTACAGAAGCAAGACTTCAATCCTAAAGTCTTGTTGGAGTCGACCTCCAGAGACAAGAGCTCTGAACCCTTTTCTTCTATCCTGCTGCCCAGGAAGACAATTTATTTCAAAACCTTCAAAGTGTTCACTGGAGAACTTCTAGGCAGCGGTCTGCGCACATCATGTTTCTGCGTTCCCATAGAGACGTCAAAGTCTCCAAATACATTTTGAACAAAACTCTCAGGCATGCATCAGTTAATAGAAGTTTTTACTGGACAAGCTTCCTTATGAGACTGAAATACAAAACAGTGACTGATTGTTAAGAAACAATCACCAAAACATAGAAAGCTGAAAACAGATGCATCACTGCACAGAAGTCCTTAAATAAGATGCATGCAGAGCAGCAGCACCTCCACCAACACTGCACTGACACACACGCAGAGCACAAACCCAAGAAAGCAGCTGCCACCACCTAAAATCACAAACTTATCCATCAGTGCCCTGATTTACTGCTGGACAATAAATTGAATTTGGTGTGTTAACAGAGACACATGAATAAATAAATACCTTCAAGCTGGCTGAGAATCCAGTGTATTTCTGTATCCTTCATTTTTGCCTAAAGTTTAGAAACACAATAGTTATGACTACAACATAATATCACAGAGCCCAGCTATTTATCCCACTGTGGGATGAAACAGCTGCTAAGTCCTGGTTGGAGGATGAATTATTTCTAAGCTTTGGCCAATGAGGAACATTGCAGGTTGCCATGACAATATCAACCCTAATTTTGGATCGAAAGACTGCTCATTTAAACACAAAGCTAAACTAACTGCCTAATGGCATTTGAATGTTTCTGTGAAGTGGAAGGTTAGATAGATGTTCAATGTGAGATCAGAAAAATGCTTTTAATAGAAAATTAGACCAATGTTAAAAAGATGAGCAATTATCCATTATTCAGTCATGTTGTTTGTGAAAATGCTTTTGTCTTTTTTGGTAAATAACCTTTAAATGCACACCAAATTCAATTTAAATGTTTGTTTTAAATTAAATGTTACCAAGACGAGCATGAACTAACACAAGGTTAGAAAACATTCAAGGCAGTCAGACACAAAACAACTGAATCTGCATGTTTGCTATATCAAAAGGGAGAAATGACCAGCACACACCTGAATCACTTCATGGATTTCTCAAAGACACAGAGAATCACAAAGAACCAATGTGTGCATGCACACTCTGGGCTGACCTTGGGGTTGGGCCCTTCTATTCCCAGAGCCATTAGCTGAGCTACTGTATGTTCCCGCAGGCTGTTGATTTCTGCCTGCTGCCGGCGGAGCTTGATGAGCAGCAGTGTCAGCTCCTCAGGCTGCACACAGCAACACAAAGAGGAGAAGAAAAGACTAAAATTGACTTTTGTATTTTTGTCAGCATATTGCTTCTTAAACAAGACGATTACTTTCTTATTGTATTTATTTCAAACAAAACTCTGCATCACTTTTCTGGGACCCCAGTCATGTCATATGTAGATGAATACCTTACTTATGTTTAAGGGCTGCAACATGACCAGCACATGACCGACCAGCACATGACTGACCAGTACATGACCGACCAGCACATGACCGACCAGCACATGACTGACCAGTACATGACCGACCAGCACACGACTGACCAGCACATGACCGACCAGCACATGACCGACCAGCACATGACCGACCAGCACATGACCGACCAGTACATGACCGACCAGCACACGACTGACCAGCACATGACCGACCAGCACATGACCGACCAGCACATGACCGACCAGTACATGACCGACCAGCACACGACTGACCAGCACATGACCGACCAGCACATGACCGACCAGTACATGACCGACCAGCACACGACTGACCAGCACATGACCGACCAGCACATGACCGACCAGCACATGACCGACCAGCACATGACCGACCAGCACATGACCGACCAGTACATGACCGACCAGCACATGACTGACCAGCACATGACTGACCAGCACATGACTGACCAGCACATGACTGACCAGTACATGACCGACCAGCACATGACTGACCAGCACATGACTGACCAGCACATGACCGACCAGCACATGACTGACCAGCACATGACCGACCAGCACATGACCGACCAGCACATGACTGACCAGTACATGACCGACCAGCACATGACCGACCAGCACATGACTGACCAGTACATGACCGACCAGCACATGACCGACCAGCACATGACTGACCAGCACATGACCGACCAGCACATGACCGACCAGCACATGACTGACCAGCACATGACCGACCAGCACATGACTGACCAGCACATGACCGACCAGCACATGACTGACCAGTACATGACCGACCAGCACATGACTGACCAGCACATGACCGACCAGCACATGACCGACCAGCACATGACCGACCAGCACATGACTGACCAGCACATGACTGACCAGCACATGACTGACCAGCACATGACCGACCAGCACATGACTGACCAGTACATGACCGACCAGCACATGACTGACCAGCACATGACCGACCAGCACATGACCGACCAGCACATGACCGACCAGCACATGACTGACCAGCACATGACCGACCAGCACACACAGTATTTTATTTGGTTATGGTGTGTCTGTGACTGGCATCCTGTCTCACGGATAGAGCAGATGGAGGGTTTAATTTTGAACTCTGCCTCATTGTCTCAAGTTTGCATGAGTGGTTTGTCTCAAAAACAAAAACAAACAAAAAAACCTTAATGAGTAACTGAATTTCTGCAAATAAGTCCTCTAAGTACCTCATCTAAACGGCAAAAAGGATGACAGCTCATCAAAATTGATGTTATATTGGTGCACATGCTCTTTTTTCAATGAGGCCTGTATGTAAGGTAAAGTTAATTATCTCATGCTAAAGCTAATGCTACATTCACAGAACAGGCAATTCCTTTTTCTGGCTGAAATTTGTTCCCCCCACCAACATCCCTCGTACGCTGAATGATGCAAACTAAATCAGACTTCTGTGTAAATCCATAAAATCCCAGAGCAGAAGAAAAAGGTGGATGACCAGTGACAAATCTATCTTTCTGTCTGTGCCGTTGGAGACTTATATGGGGACAGCACTGCTCTGCTCTGTCCTGTGTGATAACCAAGTCGCTGTGGTGATCACTGCTTCAGGACTGCAGTCAGTCTGAAACATCCTGCAGCCTATCATTATCAGCAGTCAGAGAAGAAGAAGTCAGCCAGCAGGGAAATGTGGGCGGGATCTTCTGCACGCGATGTCATGCTGCAAGGGGTCCATAAAGGTAATAAAATCTGCATTGTGATCTGAGCAATAAGTGATAGTTTATAGTTGTAATGCTTTGGAATTTTAGCTAATAAAATTTAAAAAAAAATTCCCATAAAACAATTGCTATAAAACCTCAAATACATTTAAATTAAAAACAGCATTTGTATGCTGAAACTATTTGAAATATTTGTCTAAATATTGCAACAGCATATTTCCTTTTGACATCCTAACAACATATTTTGAGACTATGTTATTCTTATCTGTTCAGAGATAAAATTGCAAAGAATTATGCCACTAATAAGAGGAGTGAAAAGGAACAAAACGGCCACCATGACTCAAAATTGATAAACATGTTAGTGTTTGTTTTATTTATTTGCTTATAAAGGAGATATAGGAAGCAGAAGAGAACACTCACCGTCTTCCCCTGCAGAGACTGTGGTGTGATGGTTTCAGGAGGGACACAGGTGGCCACAGACCGTCGGTCTGATGGACATCCATACTGTGACAGATAGAAAATAGATTGAACAGTACTGGTACAGATGTGGAGCAGGCCATAAATACATCCCTCCATTATTCCAGGAGCATGAAAAATTTGGAAAAATTCAACCTCAAATTTGAGAAGCTTTGTTTAGTATTTTATTTTTATTTATTAGAAAATTCTAATCGTGATATTCATAAATTCATGATGAACCAGGTAAGATCTTAAGTTGTATGAACTCCAAACCCTAAAAAGGATCTAGCCAGAGTAATGAGATTGCAGAAACACGCCTGCAGGATTCTATTTCCAAAGCCAGCACGTCTCTACGTGGATTTATCTGACAGGCTTTCAGCAGAAGATGATCAGCTAAACAGCAACACAGAATCAAGGAAACTAACATACTATTCAACAGTTTAGGGACAAGCTCAGCATCCGCCTCTTTTGCCACATCAAAACAGACGTCCCACTCTCAACTTTCCTGCCAAACCTCAAATGTTTCATTCTTCGCCTCAGTCATGGACTCTTCAGCTTGTACATGTTTGTCTTCAACTGAATCAGGAGATGCTGCTGCTCATTCTGCTTTGTTTAGATACCACACAAAAGTCACCCATCAATGATCAATGATTATAAACCTGTTGGTTTGACATTCCACATCATGAAGGTCCTGAACAAACTCCTTTGGCGACCTGAGGTACCGGAAGCAGATACGGACACGTCAGGACCCCCTGCAGCTTGCTTATCGCTATGAAGATGCCATCATAAACCTGCTTCAACAAACCCACTGCTATCTGGACAAAGCAGGCAGCATGATTCCAGATCCAACAAGAACATCCTTCATAAAGGGAGAGGGCAAACCTGAAAAATTTTAAAGAAATAAACTTCTGTGTTGTTCCTGATTTTTTTTTTTCTTCTATATCAAAAGGCTTGAGTTTTAATGAGATTTCTTTATGGCACTTTTGCTGTCTCTCTTCATCACCTGATATATTCAAAAAACTTTATGATCAATCCCAGAAACTCTTCACTGCTTCCAACAAAACCCTTAATCCCACCTTTGAGTGGAATATGAATTTAGAGCAACCAGCAGTGGCTGTTCCTAAACTACAGCAGTCCATCTGTCCATAAAATCCAAAGGGAGTAGAGATGTACTCAGGTGTAAATCCTACCCACCTCTATTTCCCAGCCAAACTCATCTATAACAATAGTTCAAGCAAATTTCTTAAAAGGCTGTAAAAACTGTAGGTTGTTTGATCTGAGATTAGGGTTAGGGTTAGGGTTTTCTGCCTAATGTAGGGTTTTCTACATTAGGCAGAAAAATGACATGCCAAAGGCAAACACCATGATGCGGATAGCAGTGTGTGAATATGATTCAGCACTGTGCTAATGTATCAAATGTGCTCCAAAAAAAGATGTTTCACGTGACTTGGCCTTCAAATGCGTTGCACTTACTTTGCTGAGGTGAGACCTTTGCCGGCGATCCAAAGTCCCATCCCCTCTGAGGACAGGTGAGGACACCTCAGAGAGTGAGCTGCTTGGGTTAGGAGCAGCCTGCTGGTGAGGGGGGGAGAAGCTGCTGTAGGGCGCCAGGGAGCCATGAGACGGAGAGGTGGAGATGGAGCGTGCCACAGCATGCTCAGAGATGTTTCCCATCGTCTTTGTGCTGGGCAGGGTGCCGTAATGACCCACAGCTGAGAACATGGCAACCACAAGTCACAGGAAATTCAGAACTTCTAATGAAATTACAAAATAAAGTTGACTGTCATAAATGCTAATTGAAGAAAAAAACACAGCTGAGATATGTCTCTAAGGCTACATTCGCACTACAGGCTTCAACACACAATTCAAATTTTTTGTGAAATCAGATTTTTCACAGTTCCAAATATATGCAACTTGTGTGTGATCTACTGCGTGAACTGCAAATGACCGAGGGCACAGCGACATAGAGGGTGAAGTAAACTGTGCCACATGTAGTGAGCTCACTAAGTGTTTTGGCAAACGCCATAAAAAAGAAGAAGAAGTGCTTAGTGTTTGCAGAAATAATCATAGAGGCTGATGGTGGAGCATATCTTATGAGGCTATTAACAACTAAATGTTCAATATGCTTGTTTTTCTTCTGTTCTTAGTTTTCTGCTGGAGATTTTATTTTTGAAGTTTAAAAAATTACCGCAAAAGAAAATAACACAGAGGTCCAAATCAACTTTCAATTTGAAACCATTTTTATGATGCTTTTTCTAACTCTGAGTCAGCTTTACTTTACAGGCAGACTCGTTGCCATGGCAACCTCTGGTAACCCACACAGCAGAGAGTGATATATGTCAATGGATTTCTTTTTATCTCTAAAAGACCATGAATTATTTCTCCCTGTAGTTCTACACTCACTCATTTATTTTGGCTGGATTTACCCAGAATGCCTTGGTCCACTTGGTGTTCACATGCATTCAAACAGATGCAGAGTTCACTTCAACCAAGCTGAGACCAAGGTTTTCAGCTGGACCAGAGATTGGTTTTTCGCTCTGCATTAGAGTGTGATTGTGTATTCAGACCTCCTCAAACAAACCCAACCTTCTGGACAAATGAGCTGCAGTTTGATGAAAGTGGACTAACCAGGCCGGTGTGAATGCACATCAAACCTTTTGAATTCAGCTTGTAAAAAATGTTCAAACCACTATTCCTTTCAGTTTCACAATAATTCACGTGAAATCTCAATAAACATTAAGTTTTTGCTTGAAAAGTGACAAAAAGCAAAAGTAATTGCTTAACATTTGTAATGAACATTTGCTAGTGCATGAGGTTTACCTGCTGGTTGAGCCAAGCTCTGCCTGGAGAAGGCCTGCCTCTGCTGCCACTCGTACAGCTGCCACATGGTGTCGTCTCTCATTGATCGCCTCTTTTCCACGGTGCTGATAGTGGAGGAGACTGGCCGGAGGGCCCGATCGTAGGTAGACCCTGCTACGCTGCAGATGCTATCAGGCCTGATCATACTGTTGCGGGGCAGTGTGCGGTAACCCTCAGGGAAGCAGGGGACGATCTGTGTCCTGTGACTAGGCATGTTCCTGGGCAATGTCTGGTATGACATAACACTGAAAGAGACAACAGGGAGGATGTGTGGAGGTTTGTTTTCGCTAATCTCTCCAGAGTAGAACTTTTATTGTCTTAAAAGTCGTAACTTGAAATACATGCAGAAGATGTTCAAGGGTAAACAGCTTCCAGTTTTGCTGTTAAAGCATGACTGTCTAATTCTGGGTGTTTAGGCACATCTTTTTTATGGCTATTTCAGGTCAATCAGTCTTTGCCTTTATTTAGTTCAAGAAAACATGCTGAAATAGAACTTTTCTAGCAAATGTGTCTTTTCTAAGTTTAGCCTAAACAAAGATACTGAGAGTGAGGTTCGGCCAACCTGATGGAAAAAGCTTGGCTTTTCAGTTTTACCTTTCAGCTACCTTGACCCATTGTTTAAACAGAAGGCATTAATATTATAAATGTCTTTATAGGTGCGACAGACTGGCGACCTGTCCAGGGTGTACCCTGCCTCTTGCCTTTTAAATTCAGCTTGTAAAAAATGTTAAAACCACTATTCCTTTCAGTTTCACAATAATGCACCAGCAACTCATGACCCCCTTAGGGATAAGGGTGAATAGTAAATGGATGGATGGATGGATGGATGGATGGATGGATGGATGGATGGATGGATGGATGGATGGATGGATGGATGGATGGATGGATGGATGGATGGATGGATGGATGGATGGATGGATGGATGGATGGATGGATGGATGGATGGATGGATGGATGGATGGATGGATGGATGGATGGATGTCATTATAGGCTTAATACATTTATTTTGTGAAAGCTGTGCATGTACACAATACATAATCCTAAAACTGCTCAGCAGATGAAGCATTAAATATTACCACATTTTTATAAATATATTATATAGATATATAGATAATATAAATATATATAAATAAGCTTACCATGAAATTCACACATGACATAATTTATGCATAAAAACAAATCCAATCACATTTGTAGTTTTAGACCCATGAAGAAAAGCAACTGCGAAAACTAATGGAAAACTAAGAAAGCAGGTGAAATCTGGCAACATTCAGAAAGCAATCCTGTCTCTGAAACCCAACCACCTCTTTGTGACCAGGCAAACGTATTGTTTATCTGAATTTCCTGGATACCTTTTGCAGCAGGTATCGCTCTGTCTTTGTGAAGGACGGATGGAAGCTGAGCACTACTCAGCTTCCATGAGCCACAGTTCTAACGATTTCTGCAAGATAGCACAGATCGGTAGCACAGATAGTCAGGACAGCGATTTTTCAGTCAGAGAGCAAATTTGTGAGTAGCAATTGTTTGAAGCTTCATCTACTGAAATATTAAACTCCTCCCTGTTAGAGCAGATGTTGGCCTCCTTGCCCATGTCCAGGATGAAAGATTGAGGTTGAAAGATATGTTCACTTCCTGAGATAGCCTTCTCTTAACATTGAGGTGGGCCTAAATCACAGAATAGAGTCGAAATACAGATTGAAGTTATTTGAACCTTATTTTTGTTCAGATTGTATTAGTTATCTTTTCAGCCCCAAACACAGTAGTTTCTTGACAACTGCTGTCAAGACTTGTCAAGAACTCTTGAGTTGTCAAGAAATTTTTTATTTGACACAACTAAAAAAGGAAGAAAGCTGTTTTTGTCATAAAGCAGTGCAATGTGGTGGTGAGGCAGACGCTTGAGACTCAGGTAGAGATGTAAAAGGTGGTTTTAATGGTGATGACGATGATCTAAAAACACAGTCAAGTCCACAGCCAGGCAGCACGGCTGAGCGGAAGCCAGGGCTCAACACCGGTAGAGCAAACTGGACGACAGGCAAAAAAAAGTTTTACGACAACCAACGACAAGGAACAGAGGACACAGGTGGGATTAAAAACACTGAGGGTAGTCAAAGAAACAAGACACATCTGGGAGTAATCAAGGGGAAGACAGGACAACACGAAGACTCAGACACAGAACTCAACATAAACACACAGAAAAACACAGAACGTGACAGTTTTACTGTTCAATTAGAGAAGAGAGGAAGTTGTTCAGTTTTGCTTACTTGACTTAAGCCAGCTGTATGTAAATGTAAATGTACTGTGGAATTCAATGCGTTTTGGTTCAGTTAAAAAATAAAAAAGGAGAGTTACACACCAACTCTGACTGATCATCAGTAGAGCAGGTGTTTAAATGAGCTAATCTGTGTTAGGGTAACTGTGACAAACAGTTCAAATCTTTAAAAATGCATTTAGAAAATCTCAATAACTTGTAAAGACGGTATTTAAAAGCCTCACCTTCGTGTGTCATCATCCAGTTCTCTTGTCCGGTGAACTCGAACCCTCGGCTCCAAGTGCATGGAATTGGCACTGGGTATGCCAAAGTCTGGCTCATGAACTGGAGGTGGGGACTGCAGAGGAACCCTGGCCACAGCGTTCTCTGCTTTTATCTGACCGCAGTCCCCAGGCTGTTCTCCAGGCCTGTTAGCTTGCAGAAGTTTTTGGACGTTGACATTTGCCTGGTTCTGGCGCGATACTGACACTGCAGCTGCAATGGCAGCTGCCTGAGCAGGCTGAAGCTTAATGCTGTTGATATTATTTAAAGACCTTTCTGAACTTGAATCTTTCTGGAAGAAGTACTTTTCCCCAGCACGAATTGTAGCATACTTCTCTGCGTCTGTAACAGCAGCATATTTATTCCCCTCTCGTAGTGTGCTGTACTTCCTTACTTCCTTTAGATTGCCATATTTATCCACAATTTGTATGGCACCATATTTGTTTCCTGTGTCTCTCATGGTGCTGTATCTTTCTGTTTCCTTCAATGATAACTGTCTCTTTACTTCCTTCTGAGAAACATAACTTTGCCCGTCTTTCTGGAGCATGTGTCTGTCTCTGACTTTCTGCAGAGCATACTTTTCTCCATCTTTTGTAAGTAGAAACTTTTCACCATCTTTGGAAGGAGCATATTTATCCTCTGTTGGTGTCACTGTATATTTATTATTCACTTTTTGAACAGCATAATTCTCCACATCTTTCTGCAGTGAGTATTTCTCCCCATCCTTTTGCAGCAGGTATCGCTCTCCGTCTTTGTGAAGGAGATATCTATCTCCGTCCTTCTGAAGCATGTAGCTAACTCCATCTTTCTTTAATGAGTACTTTTCTCCATCTCTCTGTAGGGTGTAATACTCTCTCTCCTTCTGGCTATTCTGTTTTTCAATGTCTTTCAAGCGTTTTTCATCAGCCCGTGAAAGTGAGTGTTGTCGTCCAGGTTCTCTGTTGCGTTCGTTGTTCTGGATCTCAGGCTGTGTAAGGGCAGTGTGGTTCAACAAGTTGTTCCATTGCTGAGGTGTCTGCTGGTCCATGTTCAGCTTGTCTAGCCTGTGTTCAAAAAGCAGAGTTAGTTTCCAATATAAGGCAAGAAAAACTCAGGCAAAATAAAGTGTCTCCTGGTCAGTCTGTCGTCCATGTGAACATTAAGGTATTTATATTTCTGTACTTCCTCTCCCATGACGGAAATACACCTTGGCATAAAGAAGTTCTTGTCTTTGAATAGAAACTTGCTTAGAACGGACAATGCTCCTCTAAGCATAAAGCAAAGCGTGCTCATTACTGACCTTTTGACCGGCTCAGTGTGGACAAGTGCAGCGTCTGTCATGACTTTCATCCAGGACTCCATCTCCTTTGAGGTGTCTGTGCAGAAGTAATATGTCCGCATGTTGGGATGGGTAGCCTGACAGCGGTGGAAAGAGCAAAGAGTTGATGGTTATAAGCAGACTCTGAGGGAATGTTGGCTTGAAAAGAGTTTCTGTGCTTCCTTCACTCCACAGAAGTTCTTTAGATGGGAAAATAGGAAATGGAATAGTCAAGTAGAAATGTCTAACTCTCCTTCTGAGAAACACAGAAGGAAAGCTTAGATGAGCTTAGATGAAAAACGCTATGAAGAGGATCAGATAATTCAAGTTTTACATGCAAGATATTTGGCTTTATATTTCTGGCCAAAACTTGTCAATGACAATCCCTTATCCATCAGGATTTCTGCTCTATTGGGAAAAGCAGAAGCACATTATGATAAACCCTGAGACTGTGGTAGAGGTAATATTCCTGCCTGCTTGGTGAAGAATAAGATCCCCAGCTGTCCTTAGCAATAGCAATGCTGAGTAAGTAAACAGAAAACAACTGGACTTGATTTTGCTTATCAGTGCCAGATTTGTAAATGTAGCCAGAGCTTTTATGCTGGTATGGTCATTTAATCAATAATATCACTTTTCATCTGAATACTGATGTCAGACACATTGGAAACTCTTTGGAAAGAAGCAGCAATTAATACTTTACTGTTAATTAACAAACAAAGTATCCCAGCACTAATCTGTCAGTGGTGGCAGATGGTTCTTCCACTGAGTCAGGGTTTGGTCCTGCTGGAGGTTTCTTCCTGTTAAAGGGGAGTTTTTTTCTCCCCACTGTTGCTACACTCATGTTTGGTATGAGGGATTGCTTATTAAACAGTAACACACGATGCATGCAATTGTCACTACATACTTGTCCAGTGAATATTGCAATCAGTGACTTGATGCATTGACTCACAAGCCCATCAAGAGTCTTGATGGGTTTGCTTTGACAGAAAACTTTTTCAACCAATGTGAATAATGAGCTAAGCTTACTGTTTAATAATTAGGAATAACTGGAATACATGTGTGTTTGAATTGAAAGAACTTTTCTGGCCTCCAGATGACATTTGTTGTGAAATGGAATTACATACATCAACTAAATTGAAATGTTTCACTTGAACAGATGTTAATGAAAAAGTGAATTGAAATGTTTGTTTTTCAGTTAATTGCATAATATTTCTGCTGAATAATAGTTGGCCAATAGATATTCATAGAGATTCTCCTGAAAAAGTTAAGACCTCACTTTTACTTTCTTAGACATTTATTAACATTTTGGATCAAACAACATTTAGAAGGGTTTACCTTGAAGGCATATTTCTTACTGATGTGATCGTCCACAGACAACATGGAAATGTGAAAACTGGGCAGCAGGATACTTCCCAGGATGCTGTCCTCCTTTTCATCTGCAGAAATGACAAAGGAAAGTTTGACATAATTCAGCAAGACATTTAAACCTGAAGTGAGTGTCTAAAACTGAACCTGTCTGAAGTGGTTTGTCTGTCAAACATGAAGGCTGAGGTATAGAAACGTTGGTTTTAGATGTCAGTGATTAATCATTTACTCTTGTTTGGTTGTATAATATTTGCATATTTACACATATCTGTTTTTGACTTGAGTACTTTTGACTTGAGTACTTGTAAATACTATACAGCATATTGCTGATGGCTTAGTGAAATACATGCCTTTCAAATTGTTTTAAAAGTATTCATAAAAACAGAATGCCTGTGCCCGCCCACCTGCTTCAGGACATGATGTCACCCAGATGACCCTTCACTGTGGATACCCCCTATTGGCCACTAGTGGAATTTTCTCAACAGATGGGAATCTTTATCAAGGATGGAATAAAGAGAGCAGCCCCTTTAATAACTTCTTCCTTCCTCAGTCTTTTCCTCAAACGACCAGAGTCACCAATGCAAAAAAGGAAAAAAATGTCCTGAAACCTGGTGCTTCAAAGAAAACATGCAGCAAAATAACAGGATGCAGTTTCTATTTTATGCATGTGAAAATAACCAGCAAGGTGGTGGAGTTACTGCCTGATGTTTTGAAGAAAAACAAAGCAGCAAATAAAGAAAACATTGGGGAACATGTTTTTCTTTTAGAGCAAACTTAACAACCTGATAAAGAAGTCTGGTTCTGGTTTTGGGAAAGACTGTGGAACCTCTGGAGATTTTCATGAAATCAAGAAAATGATGGGAAACCCTGAACATCCTGTTCATCAGACTGTCATACAACAGCAGAGTGTCTTCAGTCAGAAGCCTTTCTAGACCGTAATACAGACTGCTTTAGGAGTTCCCTCATGTCCAGCAGTCTCTGCAACAATGCATTAAAGAACTGAGAATAATGTGACATACAATATTTAATTTTGGGATCAGAAAAAGGATGATCTGAATTCAAATGAATGTTACGGTCTGGTCCATGTTCTTTAAAACAGTTTATGGTTTTCGTAAATAAAGAAGCCACGCCTCCTCCTTTTTTATGTTTTCTATTCTCACTTAAAAATTGTAGTTAGGAGGCGCTGATTCAATTCGTACAATTTGGTCATTATTGTCAAGTTCCAAGTCATTTGTGTAAAAGCTCAAGTCAAGTCAAAATTCTCTGAAAATGTATTCAAGTCAAGTCTAAAGTCATAATAATGGTGACTCATGTCTGACTTGAGTCCAAGTCCTGAGTTCCCACCTCTATCATACTATATACTGTTTTAAATCTGACTTAGTTTTTATTGAGTGACAGTCTGCTCTGGACTGACCTTTCTAAAATTGAAGGTCCATGTGGAACCTGCTGGAATGTGTGTATCGAGCTTCAGCAGGACGCACACTTAGAACTTTGATAAATGGCTTTAGTTGTTCAAATGCCAGCTTTGAACATCAGTGCATCATCTCACTTTGCTATAGAGTGCATGTAAATCTAGTGGTTGATTTCACTCTGGCAGGGAGGCTCGTCGTCTTCCCCCCAGGCGAGGAATAAATGCAGAGGCTCCAAATTCTGCTGGCATCTCTTAGAACCAAGTGATCCAGCAAGTCGGAGAAAAATTAAAATAAGAGGTGGTTCATCATTAGGCAGACAAGGACGTTGTCTTCCTTGAGGGTGTCCCACCTCTCACTTGTCTAGCTCGCAAAACCAATAAAAATATGATTCCTCCTTGTGTTTGTCATCAAAATGGCAGCTGATTGCATTCTGGGAGCAAATAATTTGTCACTTTAGAAAGATGGAAAATCTCCTTTTAAGTGTTTAGTAGAAATGACGGATGGACAGATACACTATGTGAAGAGAAGGTTCTGTTGGGTGCTGGAACCTGGCCTTGTGGGGAACCTTTTCTTTGTCCATCAGGAGGTTGTGGTCGGTTGGAGGGCGGTTCCTGCGCACCTCTATGTATTCGGCATCATCACCGCCAGCATAAGAAGAGCGGGCGGCCAGTTCTCCTGCGCTTCAGTGTTAACCTCTAATGGTACTCTGAGCCTAGTCCTCTGTGTTTTCATCTGTGTTCCTGACGACCTGAATCTGTCCTTATATTACTCCTTGCAGGAATACCCTCCGACGACTATTCCATCAGTGACTTCTGAGAATCCCTCCTTCCGTCAACTTTCCGGCTCCAGTTCTCCTCCCTGGCGGATGCTCCTCACTTCTCCCAGTAAACTCGTTCTTGAATTGTTTGTTCCAGTTTAAACATACCTCTCACCTCTCCTCTCCCTGCCTTCAGCACAAAGACGATTCTCATCCAGTGGAACCCGAGACAAACCACAATCCACACACATTATTTATGTTTGAACAATCAAACTTTATTCATCTGAACCAATTTCCATCTCCTGTTTGTGCTTCTGCATGTGGGTCAAGCGTGTAGCTTTGATCATGACAGGTTCTTCAATTAGTGTGGCCCTTCAGCATGGGAACGATTCCATAAACTGTAATAGTCCTTATTAGAATGACATTGGTTTAGTAACAAAAACACTATTTTCATTCTACTGAAAAAATGATTTTGTTATCGTCTTGTTACATTGATGCATTAAATCCAACCATTGGACTGCAGCTGGGGCAAAGTTTAGAATTTCTTAAAAATCATTAACACATTTTGTATTTTATTAGTATTGTATGCGGCAGCATAAAGTAGTGCATAATAGTAAGCAGGATGGAAAATAATACATAGTTTTCAAAACTTCTGTAGAAATAATCTGCAAAGTATTCTATGCTTCTGCTTCCAGCATGTATCATTACTGGAGATCTACTTTGTGAGATAGAGTCTTGGTGAAGAATGTAATCCTGCTTTAAACTTTTCCACAACGTCTGAAAATGTGCTGGGTCCCTTGGTCTCTAATGTTCTCCAAGACCAGAACCAGAACAGCCGAATTTCGATCCAGATCGGATTATACAGCTGGACTCTGTTAAAACCATTAAAACACAGTGTGTGGTTGTAACATGACAAAATGTTAACACACTTAAGGTGTCTCTTCCAGCATTCTGTGTATGTGTACGCGTGTGTGTGTATGTGTGTGTGTATGCGTGTGTGTGTGTATGTGTGTGTGTATGTGTGCATGTGTATGTGGTCTTGTATTTGAGAAACTATAAGGCCCATTTTTCCAACAACATTGTGAGGACTGACTGCTCCTTCAATCTCCATAAGAGGAAGTGCTGTTTTTGTCATGGTGTGAATAAAAAATTAGGTTATACATAGGTTTAAGCTACAGAAATGAATGGAAATCAATCCCAAGTTCCTGGCCGTCAAGACAGAAAGACATACTGTGTGGGCGTGTGTGTGTGTATGTATGCGTGTGTGTGTGTGTTCTCACCACGGTAGTAGAAGAGGCACATGTCAGACAGCACAAACCACCTCTTTTTCCACAGCTTCATGCCTGTGCTGTCCTAAAGTCAAAGGTTGTACAAGAACAGACAGTTAAAATTTAGAAATTACTCCAACACCCACAAACACACACCATTTATCTTTCTTCACTCTGTGTCCTTTCTGACAAGTCTTACTTAGCAATGTTTCTCTCATCCTCCTTAATTTTTTTGCATAGAGCTGAGGACCAGATTGACCTGTCACCACTACAGCACCACTATTTACCAAGAGTCACACTCGGCCATTGACATTGAGGACAGGGGCTCTGGGTACATCCTCCTGACATTTCAATGTGGGGTTTTACCTGTGGGTGGAGGTAGGTAGGAGACGCTTTGAAGTGAAATATTCACTTTGAAGTAAGTATAATAGTAACCCTATTATAACAGTAACCCTAACCCTAAGTGAATTGAATGCCATCTCAGTGGAAAAAACCCTAAAAAAAAACTGAGGCAGAGCTAATGTCTGCATATATAGTTGGAGCAAGTTGAATAGTGTTCTGTAAGGCTTTTAGTGGGCTGGAAATATCTTACTGTGACAGTGGAAAGGTAGCAAGACAACGAACCAATGCACAGTCTCGCCAAGTAGTTTAACAACACAACTCTGGATTCACTATGTTCAGTATGGACTCTTTATTGACAGAACTGAACCAAACTTTGGTGACTTCCTCAATCTTTCTTTTCAACTTTACATAAAAGTTGTTACATGTTTATGTACAATGTTACATTTTACATTGTTTATGTTGAAAAACCATTACCTGTTTATAAAGCCAGTTTCTCTTGACCACAGGGGCATTAAGGTTCCGCTTGATGGAGTTGGATCTCTTGCCAAAATTGTGGACTTTTTTGGATGACCTAGAAGGCTTCCAAAGCACAAAAATGAAAGTGAATAATTAATACCTGCATGTTCTTACAGACTAAAAAGCTTAAGGTAAAAAATGACTGAAACTAGGATTAAGATTGCTGTAGTTGACTGTACTCACAAACAGGATCAGGCTTGAGTGCAAACTCCTTATTGTTCTTAAAAATATACCAGACGTGGACTCTTCCAGAATAAGTCACATCATAATAGAAAGTAGACAGCAAGAAGGATTTCACGTCTTCATTCTTTAAGTTAAAAAGTTTCATAATTTCCCGCAGCTTGAAAATTTTCTATTTCTATAAATTCATATCATATTATACTTTTAAAAAGAGAAAAGAGAACATGTTTTCACTATTCAGACAGAGGCAGGCAAGGGGAGGTTCTCTACCACCTTTGCTTCCTCATTTTATGTCATCATCAAGTGTCCATAAGAAGCAGAACATATTGTCAAGAAAATCTGAGATCATCCCACTTCCCCATGCTGGAGATTTTAGTTAACAGTTACAATAAATAAAGTTACCTTTAAAATTAGTCACACAGGTGACATCTAGATCCAACTGTAGACCCAGGCTGCAATAAAATAAATCTGGTTGTGTGTGTTGTTTTGTCTCCTGCAAACTTAGCTTTAATTATACTTATTTTTTCTACCTAATCATAAGAAATCATAGTCAGAGAGAGAGATGAGACAGGAAGAGCAGGAAAAAAGAGGAAGTAAGTTTCCAGCTTGCAGCTGTATAAAAATAGCTGAGACTATTCCTTGTTTAAAAGCATAAAAATTTTAAAGGATAAAATCTAAACATTTTGAGTAATTAGATAAGATTTAAAGTAAAGTACTAATATTAATATTGGTTTACTTATAACAATATTTACACTTGTGGGAACAAGTAACTGTAACTTTGACATCAAATAATTACAAAAATAGATTATTCCTGGTTTCTTTTCAGAACATCTGTAATAACTCACATTATAAGAGTAAAAAGTTATGGTGTCAAAAAATTATAAATTAATGCTAAATCAAAGAAACTAAAAGGGTTATGAATATGATTTTAACATTGAATGGTGTAAAACGTGTAACTGCTATTAAAGATCACTGATGATGTGTTGGAGGTGGATAGTAGGTGAAAGGTAAAAGGTCAGGGGTAAAAGGGCAACTAACAGGAGAGCAGAGATGATCAACGCCTTATTTGGAGATAGATGGTTGAACAACTTGAACGTTTCAAGGAAAAGCCAAGAGAGGAATGTTGAGCAACCCTGAGACATTAGCACAGACATGAGGACAAAATGTCTCTGACAGTGATGGATATGAGATCATCTGTCCATACAGTCAACCAATGAAACAAGCACAGCAACAGTGTTAGCCAATGCAAATGCACCAAAAGGCTGGATAAACCCAATAAAAAGAGAGAGCAAAAGAGGAATCTTTGGTTGGATCCTCCAGGCAGCTTTGAGCCAAGACCGAGACGGACAAAGAACTCTGCAGCTGAAGGAGATCCGGGGCCACAGAGCCGAAGACTGTCCTGCGCACGGGGACCAACCCATCAGCCCCGCAACATGTGGCTTCAAATTGCACTTCTCTCATCAATTGGGCTCAAACCCCAATGACAAAGATAAAGACCCAAGTCCTGTGTGACCTCACCATGGATGCAGAGATGAAAGCTCATCAGACCAACAGAGATCCCTGCCTTTATCAATCAACCTCTTCCTCCTGCTGCAACACCTTCATCATCGATCCAGTTCTGGGGTTTGAAACACCAAACTTCATCTCAAAGGTTCCTTTTTTAGTTCTCAGTATCAGCGTTAGGGAAAGACAGGCTAGATGATTGATTTTACTTATTTGATTATTTCTGCTACTTAATTAAGCTGTACTGACCCTTGCAAAATTGCTTTACTAATAAAATATTTAGCATAAAGAAAATCTAAAAGATGTTGTGGACATTCAATTAATGAGTCACCTCAAAGTTCTTTGATGGTAGTAAAATAGCTGTGATGTTTGATTCTGGGGAAGAAAACTAGGGAATGTTTTATAGGTTGCTTTAGCCCAAATTTAAAACAACATCCTTGGGACTCGCCAGAGTCACTAAAACCAACCTGATTCAGTAACAAGTGCAAGTTGTAATCAAGAGAAGGAGCGACCGTTAACAGATGTGCTCTGTGGAACTAGTTGGCTGCAGGCTGCTCAGTCTGGCTAATTCACAGGGGGAAGAAGGACGAGACATCTGGATGGAGGTCGTAGAAATCAGGCGAATCCTTTCTAGAAACCAGCTTAAACAGAGTTTCCTTCAGTTCTGGATCGGGTAAATCCCAGCAGATTTAGGAAACTCAATTTACCCGTTAGATGGAGAGATGGTAGCACATGTCCCCTCTCAGAAGAGGAAGTAGTGACTGAGAGAGGAGAGAATGAAGAGGGGAGGGGGGAGCGTCAAAACGACAATATGAACCTGTTTTAAAAGGTGACCTTACATCAAATTAAAGTTACAATGAATTTAATGTGATATAATTAATGTTGGTCTTAAGAATGAAATATTTTGAGTTGTAACACCAGCAAATTTATGAACTAGTGTTTGAAGAAAAATCACAACCCAAAGTCACTTTTATAGCTGATAAAAAAGTGCTAACAAAGACAGATAAATGTGTCACTTCAAAGGAAAGATATTCTACATCTTTCCTGTATGACAGCTTACTCATGCAGGTGATAGGAGCAGATGTGCTTTGACTAAACTGAGATGAAAGGAAATTGTCCATTCCATTTTATTTAACACATTAGATCCATGTACTGAGGATCTATTGTACTGTTCAGTTTCTATTCTATTATTTTAGTTTTAACAGTAACTCACTCTCAGCAACAGATAAGAGACAAACTCAAACTCAGAGATGACCCAGTTACCCCTCCCTTCTACTATCATTCAGGTTTGTTCATGACAAATATTACAGAAATTAATAACATTGACATTCCAAAAAAATCCAGGAACTATGATCAAAACTATTGGTTTATTTAAACCAAGATTAGGTTAGAAATGCAAAATTAACTTCTTCTAAGTGCTGCAAATACCGCAGAGTAAATATTGTGTGAAAGGCACTTACCCTGGAAGATGAGGTGGTGGTGACAGTAGTGACAGTTGTAGCTGGGCTGCCAGGGAAGGTGCTGTAATCTGAGCCACCAGTATAGTTGGAGGCCTCACTCATGATGCTCATGGGACGCTGTTTCTTGTCAGTGCTGCTTTCCTGCTCTGCTGAAGCCTTTGGAGCTGGTCTGAAAAGAGGCACAAGCCAGAAATTTGAACATATTCTGAAAAAAATATTGAAAATATATCCTATATACTGACAATTAGTAATATTGTAATTGATAAAGCTATCTCTTGTCAAATGTTCTGTGAGCAAAGCAAGCATAGAAAAATAAATAATATAATAGTTTCAGATCACAGTTATCCTTGAGTTCAAGGCAAGTTTGAAAATATGTGCATGTCATATCTTGGCGAACGTTGTTCGCCAAGGTTCGGATTGAGTTTACAGATCTAAACATGCATTTTTCTTTTATCATTTGCTAATAAAACATCTGATCTTTTGAACTGTGTGAGATTGAATATACCCAAAGTTGGCAACAAATGGTGAAAATAATCGCAGATGTTCTAAGGACAAGTTCTGTTATCTGTTGTGTTCCAATATGTCCACATATACCCTAATTTTACTGTTCAAACAGATTAGACTAAACACAGGGACAAGGCCAGAAGGTGGTCCTGCTGGCAATTGAGCATCTATAGCCTTTGATGCAAAATTTATAATAATAATAATAATAGTAATAATAATAATACTTTATTGATGCCCTGAAGGAGAGGAAATGCTGCTTGGCCCAGCATAGCACACACACACACATACGAACACACACACACACACACACACACACACACACACACACACACACACACACACGCACACGCACACACACACACACACACACACACACACACACAGTGTTGTAGACACTCAGCCTCATACACAGCAACCCAAAGCAGACAAACATTTCTATCATCATTTTAGTGAAGTTCTAGCCTCACTGATTCTTCATTGAGACCGGATAACATCAACCAGTCTTCCTACATTAGACACTTGGGTAAAATGTACTCTGTCATTCACTTTCTGATTTCCCATTCTTTAACCATTTAGTGCTGCTTCTTACTGATAAAGATCAAAATGCTTTTTGTTTGTTCGTTGCTTTTTTGCTTCCCACCCTCTAGCATAAGGTGCAAATAAATGTAGTATTTATTTGCTATCTAATATAAGCTGGTTACCATCAGGTGGCACAGAAACAAAATAATAAAGAGCAGCTCTATGATCATTTAGTTCATAAAGCTATGGCTGACGAGTGTTTCTACTGTGTAGTGACTGATCCCACTACCACGTTGACTGGAGTGCTGCCAATCTTTAAGTCTTCTTTTGCCTGCAAAGTAACCAAGGACTGTTGTAAAGCAATGACCCAGCACCTTCACCTCATCACAAAGGGCCCTGCTTCATTCTCTCTGCTGGAGCCATTAAAAGTAAGAAGAGCAAAGTGAAACACAAGGATGACTGGCGTGAACAAACATGAACAAAGATGTACGTGCCATTGGGAAAAGCTATAAACTTAGATAAAGAAAGCACAAATCAGGAGTGGAGGACAGAGATGGTGCCTGAATCCAGCTATCATTCTTTGATTGATGACTTAAACCAGTGGTGCTCAATATGTCGATCGCAATCTATCGGTCGATTGCGATCTATTGGTCGATCGCGATCTATCGGTCGATTGCGATCTATCGGTCGATTGCGATCTATCGGTCGATTGCGGGAAGATTTTGAGTGGACACTGAAACCAGCACTTCCTCTTCTGACGCGCTTATCAAAATAAGAATTTAAATTAACTAATCACCCACCACTGTGTTCATGAGAGGTTTATTAAAAATCCACAACTATATATCAAGCCTGGAAACCTGATATCGTAACGGATTGAATGTTTTTAACATAATCTTGGAGGACGCAGGCGGTTGCCACGGCAACAGGTGTGTTTAATGACAAAGAGAGAGATTAAAAAGGTGCATGAGTTGATCACCTGTTCAGGTTATTTTACCTTTGTTGACCTTTGCTGTGGTTCATTACAGAGTTTCTGAACGATCAATAAACGATAAACTTGGACTGGTGACGTCGTTCGTTTGCAGTAAACGTGTCACATCAAATAGGACAAATATATTGAATAAGTTTTAACAAATGGTTTCTGCCACCATGATTATGTGAAATGAAATAAATTTTATCCCAGATTCAGAAGATTTGCCTTTACTTTAACAGAGCTCTTTGGTTCCTCCTATCAGTCTGCAGTTTCTCATACTGAGGTCAATGTTCAGATCCACCAGAACTGACTGACAGCTGCTGACCTCAGATTTCCAACCAGCTTGAGACTGAGAAACCAGTAACCTGTTGAAACCAGTAACCTACTGAAATCAGTAACCTGTTGAAACCAGTAACCTACTGAAACCAGTAACCTACTGAAACCAGTAACGTGTTCAAACCAGTAACCTACAGAAACCAGTAATCGACTGAAACCAGTAACCTACTGAAACAAATAACCTGTTGAAACCAGTAACCTGCTGAAACCAGTAACCTGCTGAAACCAGTAACCTACTGAAACCAGTAATCTGTTGAAACCAGTAACCTGTTGAAACCAGTAACCTGTTGAAACCAGTAACCTACAGAAACCAGTAACCTGCTGAAACCAGTAACCTGCTGAAACCAGTAACCTGTTGAAACCAGTAACCTACTGAAACG